CACTTACAAACTGAATTTAAATTATTCTTAGATAATAATTCATAAGACAAAAGCGGGTAAGTCAATAACAATAAAAGTGGACAATTTTTCTTTTCACTAATCCAGAAATAACTTTTTTGACCTAACCCAAATAATTGTTCCTAGAAAGGTTGTGGAAATGTCATTGAACTGCATATCAGGACATGCAACTTTGTAGTTTTAACTTGGCTTCTAAGCTGTTAAGAGTTTTTACTTTCTCGAAGTGAGTTGAAAAATCCCCGAGAATAACTGCAGTGACTAAAAAGTTGCCAAGGATAAGTTCAGGGGTGACTAAACCAAAGGGGTATCTTCGTTTCACAGGATTTTAATCCGTCAGCCGTCTAGGGTTTCGTTTCAGCCGCAACAGTTTGCACTTCAAGGGCTACTCGCACAGATTATCGAATGTCCTTAGGGCCATTTAATAGCATTTTAAATTCCTAATTTGGTTTAGCAGGAATCAGGCCATTTTTCTGCTTATACACACCATTTTGCTGTTAATTGGATTAGGCACTCGCGATAATTGGCGTTTAGAACGAACTTAATTTGATTTACACTCTAACGTTCCAAAAACTTATTTTCCCGCTCCAAGTTTCAAAATTCCCTGCGCAGGACACTCGCGTAAGTCCTTGCTTGAGCTTTCGTTCACTTTTCTGGGGAGCAGGGCTGGAAAAAACACGTCCGAACCGATGCGCGTTCCACGCACGTCTGACAAAATGCAAATCAATCGGCGACGGGCCAAGTTTCAATGGTTGGACAACTGGCGCAACCGGCTAATTGGATTGTAACATATCGCGAATGCTCGATGGCGCCTCCACCATTGGGCACACACGCTTCTCTCGCCTCATTTGAGGCATTACTTCACCGGAGGAATGGCCAAATGTTGGTGCATTCTGGCCTTTGTTTAGAATATGGCAGCAAAAAAACGGCGATAAAAGTGCGAGCAGGGCGGAAGCGGATTTCGGCCAGGTTTTCAAGATTTCCAATGCAACGGCAACAGCCTCTGGGTCGGCTTAAAACTTGTACGAGTTCGCTTAACATGATTTCGGTGTGCACTGCTGCCTTTTTTGGGGGTTCGCGAAAACGCGTTGAAAGGCGTGTTCAACACGCACAAGCAATTGAAATGCGGAACAATAAGAGTATAAATACATATCGTGGATAGTTTAAAGTTGATAATAAAGTTACTAAAGCCTTTAATTGAAGTAATTTAACAGTTTATAGGGCTCAGAAGGGTACAAAAAAAGCAGTCCCCTATCCTGGACAGCTGTTAGACATGACAAATATTACAAAATTAAAATGGACCCTTTTACAAATTCTAGCTATCCCTAAATATGCTAAAAATTTTACGGTAAATGTACAATTGCATATCACAGGCCTGCTTCACTTGAGTGAGCGAATCTTGCGATATATCCATGAATGATATGTGCGCTCCTTGACCATCTCCTTGTCTGCGAATACAGAAAAATTACTAAGGCTATAGAAAATAATTAAATTAAAAAGTAACCTACCATCGCACTGAAAGCACTGAGCCAAGTTTGGGGGACAAATGTTCTCCGAATTGAAATAGAAAGTGGTCTTTAGTTCACGGAACTTGTTATATGAGCGCATGGTGATGTGCGAGAGAAGGGATCCTTGCCATCCAAGTGATCTCTAACGTAGTGGGCAGACAGGCGGATGTCCATCACATCACTCAGCTGATCATCAATGGACTCCACTAGTCTGAGGGGTCTCTTCAGCAGTTCAGAGCAGACATCGTTATAAACTGAAAACAAATACAAATACATACAAATAAATTAAAAACAAAAACTATGGCTTTTTTCCTCCCTCACCGTTGGACAGATTCAGATGAATGTGCATCATAAGCAGGTGCTCCAAGGTGCAGTGGATTTGGAATAACTTTGAGACCCGTTCCGTGCTCTCCTGCTCGTCGAAATGGCTGTTTTTAAACCCGGCATCATCGTCGTCCCCCGCATACTTCGCATTCCCCGACTTTACGGCGCCGTGGTGGTGCAGCAGCGTCTTGCGCATTCCTGCTCCTGGCATCGGATCCCCCCTGACCGCATTATGCAGGGATTTTCGCAGCTGGGGCAGATTCTGCGGGGAGCCGTCGTCATTCGCCGCTTCGCTGGAGTCCTCCTTCAGCAGATTGGTGCTGCACAACTTGCTCTCCGTGTAGATAAACTCGTAGTCCTTTACAGCTTCTCCAGGCCAATCTCCAGCAGCAGTTCCAAAGGCTCCGCGCCACTTAGGCAGGGCATGGCCAAACGACGATTTGCCAACTCGGTGATAATCTTTGCCAGGCGGTTTTTGTTGGTTGGGGTGTTCTAGGGTTTGGATTCTATGTGAAATAGGAATTATGTTATTCATAAGACAGATATACTTACCACTATGTTACAGCGGGCTGCGCATTGGAACAGCATGTTGAAGGCCATCTTCAGGTCCTTGTATGAGGCGCAGCTCTTGAGCAGCTCCCACAGTTTGTCGGTGAGGTCCGTGAGCCGACGCACCTTAGCCCTCTGTACACATCCTCGATGTCGAACTCCACATTGCCGATGCTATAGCGATCTATAAAGCCGGAAACATCGGTCATGGTATGGTTAATAGAATCCCGCAACTCGTCCATGTCGATGCCACTGCCACAACGGTAGGTGGGATCTCGGGAGACGCCCTGTTTGACATCCTTGTGGTAGGAGACGATGTCCTCGCGTATGAAGACCAGAATGCGCAGCTGGTTCATAAAGTCCTGGGTCAATGGGGTGCATTCGCCCACCCGGAAGGTGTGATTTAGAGACACCTCGCAGTCGTTAAGGTTCACCAGGAGCGGAAGCCCGGCACTAGAGGTCCAGGAGCAGCGCAGCCTCATGTGGGGATTCACCTGGTAGCTGTTCTCGATCAGCGTTTCGTCGGGAGCCTTGCCATGCTGTCGCACCAGAGATTGAGAGGTGACCTGGTAGGCGGGGAACACGCCCTGATAGCTCAGAATTCCCCGGGAGAAGTGCGTGGGGTTAAACTCATACTGGAGCAACTGGGTCTGAGCGGGATCGCTGCCATCGCATAGAAACCACACGGATCCCAGTCCCTCAGCCAGCTGCAGGAACTCGGAGCATACGATGGACCTGGCCTTGTCCACTGGGATTCCTCGTTGGTACTCCTCCTCCACTTCCAGGGATTCGAGTGCTCCAGCTGGAGGTCTATGGACAGGTCGCCTATAGCGTCCACAAGACAGTCGTCCTTCAAGGGACTCCCCGTGAGATCCAAGTCCGCAGAGCCCTCAGTTTTTGGAGACACCTTCGTGGGCGTGATCGTGGACGCGGCCCGGATCCTGGCCACTGACCCACTGCGATCCTCCTTGAAGACCAGCACGATCTTCTTGCCCGCCTCTGCGGGTCCCACCGTGCTCACTAGGTAAGTGGGTGGCGCTCCGTAGGTGATCGTGTAGGACTCGCCACATCGGCGCATCAGCTCCGCGTAAACATTCGCCAAATTCGCGGAAGACATATTTAAGTTCGCTTGGCAAAACAAAAAAAGCGGCAGTGTTTAAAAAGCCAAGCGTAGAATTAGAGATGGCCCAAAAACCAATCGATGGGTTTGTGTACACGCTGTCTCACAAACGGTCTTTTTAAATGAGCGGTGGGTGACACCGCTAAGCTATCGAATTTTAGTGAGGCCGTTTGGAATATTTGTGGTATATTTTTGGTATTATTTTGGTATGTCCTCCTCCTATCGAAGAACAAGAGCCCGATAGGTTCTGACAAATAATCGATAGGCCATCCCCGCACGTGTTGAAATTGTTTTCTTTTTTGGGAGCCACTTTAATTTAGCTAATTTAAACATGTCTGACTTTGAAATGGAGGACAGTGCCTCGGGCTACGACTCAGGGGATAACTCAGATGCTGAGGTGAGTGAGAACCCATAAAAATAAACACTGTTATACAAAAATCCCACATTTTGTGCAGCTGCAAGCGGCATTTGAACGAGGCGACCTGAAACCAGGTCTAAACGTGGAGTTTAATGGCCAGAGGGACAGAGTAAATGATGTGGTAAGTGTTCAGCTGGAAGCCTGCTCCTACAACCCACTAACGCGTCATCCATCTAGACCAAACTGCTGGCCAAAACAGAGGCTATAAAGCTGCAACTGCCGTGGCTGGAACGCCTGGACATGATCAACACACTGGCTCCCTTGGCCCCGGAACTAGCCGTCCAGCTGGAGAAGCACGAGCAGAAGCGGGCCAACCTCTTCAAGGGCAACGCCAAGCTGCCCTACATCCGCCCCGACGAGGATCCCGTGCTAAACGACTTCAAGCGCGAGATGCTCTTCCACCGACAGGCGCAGAGTGCCGTCCTCGAGGCCATTCCCCGCCTGCACGAGCTGGGCATCAAGACGCGGCGCCCCGACGACTACTTCGCCGAGATGGCCAAGTCGGACGAGCACATGCAGAAGGTGCGCGCCAACCTGATGGCCAAACAGCAGGGACAGGCCAAATCCGAGCGCATCAAGCAGATCCGCGAGCAGCGAAAAATGGGCAAGATGCTGGCCAAGCAGACCAAGGTGCAGCGCGAGGCCGAGAAGAAGGACATGCTGGACAAGCTCAAGAAGTTCCGCAAGGGCAAGCTGAAGAACCTGGACTTCCTGGAGGACGCCAAGGCTCTGGAGTCCAAGCAAAAGCAGTCCGCCGACAATCGCAAGAAGCGCAACAAGAAGTTCGGCTTCGGAGGCAAAAAGAAGGGCCTGAAGCGAAACACCAAGTCCTCCTCCGCGGGATTGGATGGCGAAAAATCCTCGAGAAAGCAGCGGGGTGTCAAGGCGGGCGCCTCGGTCAACAAACGGTTGGGCAAGTCGCGACGCATCAAGGCCAAGGGCAGAAAGTAATCCCATCAGGGATTGCAGACTATCTTTAGGTGACCAAACTTTAGTTATTAAATGCCCCCAATCGTGTATAGAAATTTTAGAACCATAAATACATACAATTTTATGTGCATTCAGCTGGTTTTATTTAGATCTTATAATTAATTGATTTATTGTATATACAAGGTTCCAATTGTAAGTTAAAGATGGCATCTTGATAAACGAAGTATATAATGTAATTTTTCTAACATAATTATTTTAGACTAGACTATACTATAGCTCCACCTGGTTCCTTTTCTTTTTCTTTTTGCTCTTTATGGGATATCGGTTTCCTCAGTGGAGTCCCCGGTTTTCCGCTTCTTTTTTGATTTCACGGGCTCATCAGTTTCCTTCTTGGGTTGTTTCTTCGGATGCCTCTGTCACTTCTTGTAGCCTATCCGCTTTCTTCTTTTTTATCTTACTGGCTCCTCCAATTGGTTCTCTGTATTTCTTGGATTTCCTCTACTGGTCTTTTCGATTTATCCTTTTTCTTTTTATTTGGCAGGTTCTTGTGTTTCCTCGCTTGGCACCTCTTTTTCCGACTTCTCCGCCTTGGATTTCTTGGATTTTTTCTTCTTTTTGGGGTTCTCAGACAGCTCTACTGCATCTTCCGCTTCATTCCGGGTTTCCACAACTAACTCTTCAGCTGAGTCCGTTTTCCTGTTCGTTTTCTCGGGCGGATTCTTTAGTTTCCCCTGAAGCTTCTCCAGCATTTCGCGCTCCTGCTGCTCCAACCGGGCGATCTTCCCGCTAATTTGAGACCGTGTCGGGCTCCCTTGTGCGCTGTCCTGCCGCCGCAGGCCTTGAAGAGTTCCTCGTCCGTGAGCACGGTCACCTTGGTGACCTCGATATCCTCCACATTGATGCGCCCGGCGGTCCCACCTCGCCGCCGTTTTGGGTGAGCAGCGAGGTCTGCAGGAAATTATCGTAGGTGGCTCTTCCATCGCTGGCGTGCTGCTCCTTGGCCTTTTTGAGTTTTCGGGCGGAGTAACCGCTGGTGGAGATCTCCACCGCATCCTCGCCCTCCTTGCGGGAGGTCAGCACCTTGCCATCCTGCTGAACCTGGACATCCACATTGCTGGCAGCCTCGTTGAAGCAGCGCTCCCACCAGTGGTCATTGAATTCCTGGGCGCGATCAGCTCCCAATCCCGCGTTGTCGAACTTCAAGCTGGCCTTCAGTGGAGCTGTGATTCCAGTGTTGTTCTTGCCCAGGCCATCGCCCTCCTTCCACCGTATTTTCCGAGTAACTTCTTGGCGAAATCCATTTAAAGACCATAAAAAAAAACAAAACACACGTGTGGCGCAATGCTATCGATACCGCCGTAGTTATCGATGAGTAATTTTGCCATAACTAGAATTCTACACAGGGTGATCATTTATGCTATCACAGGGTGACTGGGTCCATATAAGGCAGAGTTGCATTGGGCGCCAACTTTGAATTTCCAAAACTGGCTCTGCCCAGATAAAACGACTACCAAGCAAGTAAACCAAGATTCCGTAGTATTTAAAAGAAAATCTAATTGTCAGCTTCCTTTACACATTCATTTCTCCTTTATTTCACATTTCAGCTGCGCTCTTCGGCTCATTTCGTTAGCAACTACTACTTTTAGTACATGTTCCATAATAAATATTAAGTGGCAATAAACAAAAACAGCGTTTACATAAAGGAAACTGATATTTTTCGAATACAAAATACTAGAAAACAATGTGGATTTTCAGTACGCGCCACAGTAAAATCGAAAAAGTCGCTGAGCCCAACGATCCGTCGGACTTCCGACCAGCCACGCCCACACACTCGCTAATCCATGGTGTTATTTTGCAGAAGGACCTCCACGCATTGCCTGCCGCCGGGGATTTTTGCCGTGTTTCGATGTCCAAGAACTTCGTGGGGAGAGAGAGAGCCTTGGCCAGCGGGCATGAAGGTCCTCCGCGGGATTCGCAGAAGGCGTGGGACATGGCTGGACTTGGTCCGAGGATTTGGCTGGGTTTTTCGGTGAGCCGGAAGCTTGCTTCAATTAAAATCTAATTTTAATCTTTGTCGTCTGGGTCTCTGGGCTAATCCAATCCAATCCAATCCTTCCTCCTGATATTTCGGTTGTTCAACTTAAAGTAGGTGTGGTCTTCTCCTCGCTCGCATGTTTTTTAAAAACAAAATTCATGTATTATATGTGGTTGTTGGTATTTATAATTAGATAGTGGTACAGGATGTTCTTGTTTGCTATCAATCAATCAATCATTTTATCATTAATAATCGAAAATGAACATAGGTGTTGCTTGTTCTGGTTGTTGTTGTTTGTTTGAAGTGTTGTTGGTTGCTATTCTCGTTCGCATGCGACTTGCACACACGCCCGATTGCAGGAAACAAGGACGAGCAATCGATGTGCAGCGGGAGCGCTTAGAAGGCGAACAGCAGCAGGAAGGCCATCATCAAACAGAACAGACCCATGGCCTCGGACAGGGCGAAGCCCAGAATGGCGTAGGAGAACAGCTGCTGTTTCAGCGATGGGTTCCTGGCGTAGCCGATGATGAGGGAACCGAATACTGTTCCGATACCAGCACCTGTTGTATTGGTTCGTTGTCGGTCGTTCGGAAAATTGGGAGAAAGAGAAAATCAAAGCATTAGTTAAATGTTCAGATCGGAGGATGAGTGATGATCCCCGATAGTTAACAATAGATTTTGGAAGGATTCAGGGACAAGGGGCTTCCCCGGCTTTCCATTTTGGCTCTTTTCTCCCAGTAGTCAGTCACAGATTAGTCTGAATTGAGTTCTGCCTAGAAGGCAGCCAGCACATCGCACTAAAAACGCCGGCCACGAAAGATTTCAATGCCAGCCATGCGGCGGTTCCCCGAAGGCAACGGCAACACCATGGCGACAGGATTTCTGGTACTTTCGCCCTGCAATCACACAGGTTTCCTGCTGGGAAATGAAGCCGCAACAAACAGCAGGCTTGGCCAATTCTCAGACCTTCCCGGGGCAATGGTTTGGAGAGTAATCAGATACTCGTTGTGTGGGCCCCAGATGCTAGTTTGCAACTGACTGGAGGAGAAGGAGACAAAGTAGCCTGGGGAATCCCCTTCTTTGTGCGACTTATGAGAACATGATCCATGACCCAACGAAACCAATACGAACCGGATCCAGCGACACCGACTGTTGCGGCACCAGCGCCAATGAATTTGGCGGCCGAGTCAATGTCACGCGCGACTGGCGAGGTCTGGAATGACCTGATCTGTGGCAGCAATGCAACTGGGGTTGTGTTCTGAGCGGCCAAAGTCTGGCTCTGGCTGATGACGGCGCTGCTCAATGGTCGCAGGTACTGCTTGGAGTTGGCGAGGAACTGAAACGAGGAATATGCGTTGATTATATAAGAAATAGTATATGGCGTGCATTACTATTGTTCAAGATAAAGTTTCAGGGCAGAGATAAGGGGTAACCATCTTTTAAATATGTATTTTAGAAGCTTATTCAAGCTTAATTAAAATAAAGAAAATAATGAATATTAGTTGATAATCTTGTAATACCTACTCAAAGGCAATAATAAAGTAAATTTAAAATTAAAACCTACTATTTTTCCTTGAGGCCTGATAAACATAATACATATATGTTTACCAACTTGCTTGATAAGAGCACACTTGGATAATATTAAGTTAAGTACAAGAAATTTCCCATTGTTACCAAGAGATTTCTCTGCACTATAAAACTAAATACTATTTATGGACAGTTTCCGTTGCTAGGGCATTACTAGCCATATTATCAGATCTTGCCAAATACACCAAGCCCAAGTTCATTCATCTCCTGTAATTGCCAAGTTATGCAATCGTTAAGTAATTTCTGTGGTATTCGGAACTGACACTTTGGCTGCAGCATTTGTTGTTCCTCAGACTTGGTTCTTATATAGTGGTTAGGGGCCCGATTTGAAGATTATCATCTATAATATTATAAACAATGTCAATCATTGGCAATTTAAGTTTCCCCGCTCCCCTCTTTTTCACCATTCCACTGGAAAGCTTTCGCCGGTTCTAACCTCAAAGAATCACATCAAATGCTTTTGCCAAGTGTTATACAATGTCATGATGCCTGTTATTCGTAAATAAAAGTGGAGTCCCTGAATTCCTTTGGATATAGTCCGATTATTCCGTTTATTCTTTTTAATTAATCGCTTCCACTGGGCGCACACATAACCTCAAAGTTATGCAACTGTGTGCCGTATGTGTTTTCTCACCGCGGCCATTGGAAGTTCACCACGCCAAGGCGGCATGTAAATGGTTAAATCGGGAAAATCAATGCACTTTTTCGGATACTATAATTATGTAATCTCTTTACCGCCTTGTAAACTTTATCTCGCACAATTTGAATCGCAGAAAAGGGATACTTACGGCGCTCCTGGCAACGGGGGCAATGCGAGAGACTGTCGACACGAACATTTTCGGTTGATTTTCCTTTTTTTTTGTTGGCTTACGACAAAATTGAAGCTAGCGCACGGCTCTGCAAAAGATATAGACGATATATCGGTTAGTTTTCGTTGCGGAAGATCTCATTTCTCAAATCATATCATTTCCCACACGCCGCCTCAGAAAAGTTACGTAACGAGCGAAAATTCTGCCTTTGCACCGGATTTTCACTCGCATCGCTGATCGATCTCTGCTTAATTCTCAATCAAAAACGATTCGCTGGCTTTTCAGCTTGAAAATCTTCAGATTTTCCGACTTTTCCAGTGACGCAACGACTCGAGACACACACGCACACCACCGCAAACCTGACAGGCACATGCTGTGTGTGTGTGAGTGTGCCGCAAGATGGCGACGGATTATCAAACACGTTTCGCATTCTTTTTGGCGAAAATTCACTCGGTTCTTCACTGATAGTAGGCTTTTCCGCGTTTCAGGCCCTCTGAGGCGTTTTCCACGGCTGTTACCCAACAACCGATAAGGGGTGCTCCGCCGGACGGGGAGGGGAAAGAAAAGCCCCCGGAGAAAGCAACTCACTTCGAACAAACCCTTCACAACAGTAAAACGAATTTGACAATTTCGGTGGCTTTTGGGGGGTGCACGTGTGGCTGCCTGGGGGTGGTAGGAAAAATACCAATACGGCGTTTTTATATACTGGAAATACCAGAAATACCATTTTCATTGGAGACCCGATCCATGGTTTGGAGCTTTGATTGGTTTCAGTGGTGGCACAAACCAAATAACGGAACCAGGGCTGGCTTACTTTTTAAATATATGCAGTTTTTATAAATAACACTTACAAATCGCCCAACAAAATAAAACATTTAATGTAACTGTATTATTAAATAAGAACGCAGTACAGTAATTATAAAGCAAAAAGATGCACCAAAACGACCGCATAATAAGTGACAAGCCCATAACAGAATTTAACGAGTGCTGTTAAGCACAAAAATGCTGTTAAACGCAAGAAAACGCAGAGTTGCTTTATTTTTCTACCATATTTCCCATTTCGTCCTTGGGAGGGCTCTCCGGTGTAAAGAATAATAAATAAAATAATTATAAATTGTATATAATATTAAAGGGGGCGAAAATCCTCATCACAAAACAGTTGGATTTTTTATTTTAATAAGCAGTTTTAACTCGGTTGGGACCGAATTAAATTGGAGTCAGGCTTTAACAGCAATGCTTTCTGATATCTTAGTCGGGAACGCTTTAAACTTCAAATTAACAAACCTAATACTTTTGTATGATTTGATGCGCCACGGATTAAAGGATTGTAAAATCTTTCAGCATGCCCTGGCATGACAATAGCCATCTCAATGGTTCTTCAAATATTTAGGCTGTGCCAACGATGTTCTGTGATTTGATTTAAAACTAAAGATAATTAAAATACATTGTATTCTTTGCGGCTGCCTAAAACAGATAGTTGTTGCCAACGCGCCTAATAATTAAACGGGTTTGCGCTACCTATCCAAAAAGGCAACATATCAGTTAAATTAACACAAGAAGTTAGCGGAAGGACGACTAAATGTTACTTAGGAACTGTGCTACCGCCAGCACAACTTGGAATCAAAAACAATTAACTTGAGAGCGAGAATGTTTATTATCAATCGAGAACGATTTAATCTTGAGACCGTAAGGACCAAGTACTCTGAAATCGAGACCGAATTTGAACATTTGAATATTTTTTTTGACAGTTACCACGACCTAAGGTTTAAAAACCGGATAGTGTGATAGGGTGTACCCGCTGTGCGAGGAAAGTGCACTCGCTAACGGCCGATTGGCCAATTAACCCGTAGTGCAGCCCTAGCTTCTGACCAACTCCCCACTGTCACGCACACCACCACAAACGCAGCATAACGCGTCGTTGGACGTCGGTGTTTGTGTCTACGTCACATCGGTTAAATTATGTTTTAATTACCCAACTGCGACTGCAAAGGCAACTCGATCGAAGCACATTATGCTGTGAGTACATTGACTATTCATTTGCTATCGAAGTCGGTTAAGCCCAGTTACGCCCCCAAATGTTGCAGCCCTCAATTGCATAACAGCACTTGCGCATGAGTGTGTGTGTGTGGGGAACGCCAGAGGACCGAAACACACCACACCGAAAGGAGCAGAGAAGCGAAGGAAAAGAAGCCGACACCCCGAAATTGCAGAAAAACAGAGTTTTTGGCCAAAAATGTCCGGCTGCTGACCATCGTCGCGATTAAGTATCGCCAACAAACAGTATTCGCGCGAACAAACGCCGCATAACCGAAAGTCACCACTGCCCACTGGAAGTGGTGCGAGTACCGGCTAACCGACTGTGCCGCCCTGGAAGATGGCCTTTTCGCCGCACTGCTGACCGGCCACACTGCAACAGCCACCCGATTTAGTTGCTGTTTTTTTACATAACTCGTCACATTCGTTCGCCTCGGAATCGTGATATATATATATACACATATATATGATAATACAGTATATATTATGGCCGTTTTCCTGATCAACGTCTGCAAGTACAATGGCTGCGGCATCACATTTCCGAGCTTGAGCGATCTGATTTCCCACATCGAGGACACCCACATAGGTAAAATCGTAAATAACGCAAATATCGCTATCATTTGACCGTCGCGTGATGTTCTCGGTGTGTTTTGTTTATTTTATTTACTCGCCGCGGCATAAATAAATAAAATAGAAGAGCGAAGCGGGGCAAAGGTGTGTGCGAGTGCAGTGCGTGCGTGTGTGTGTAAATGGCTTCGTGGTTGTTTTTATAACGTGAACTGCACTTTGCATTTTGCATTCAGCATTTATTGCACTTTAAATGGCAAAATCGATGCTGGAAGCCTGGAAGTGGCTACCTGTGCCCACACGCACACAGATGCACTGCACACACACGCCCCGTTTTCCAGGCGCGTACAGCATTCGGCGATCGGTGCGGCCGCCTGGAAAGTGTGCGTGCGAGCGAGAGGGCAGTACAAGCAAAACAAAAGCAAAAAAGCCGGTGATCCATTCAATACCCCTTGTTTATCTGTATGCGAGTGTGTGCGTGTGTTTGGAAGGCCAGCACAGCATCTAGTTGTTGTTGTAGTGGAAACCGGCGAGTTGAGCGCCCTTTTTTTGACCTGTCCGCATGGCTTGGCTTGGGTTCTTGGCTTCTGGTTTCCAGGGCAGGTGTATCCGCATCCGCAACCGCATCTGGTAATCGGAGTTGGAAGCGGGAAATTCTCCCATTTCCCCCCACCCCACTTTCCACCCACCCACACGCACAATCGATACTTTCCCGTCCACGTGACTCCCGTGGGCTTCCAATTAATCATTTCCAGGTTGTGCGAGTTTGTATGTGTGTGTTTGGACTTTTACCGGCTGAAATAAACAATTTCTAATTTTAGTGTTTAGGGGCGGGAAGGGTGGGTAGGGGCTGGGTTTCGAGGGGGAAAATCAATAGAGTTAAGCTCAGTAGTGTTGCCGTATTACGAAAACAGGGGCTTGGGGGTGGGTTAACCGTTAACGGGCTTTATTTATTCCTTCCCAACAGGCCGGGCGTCTTACACTGGGAAAAATATAGTGAGATGCCAAATAAGTAGTTTTTCTTACAGATTACATTTTATTGGAACTCTAATTAAACAAAATTCCTATAAACTATACTCTAATAATATTTAATAGACAATGAAATTTAAGTGTCCAAATTGGTATATAAAACTGAAATTGGAGAAACAACCACAAATAGTGAAATCATGGTGATTTAATAGACTAGATCATCAGTATATGGAGAAAAGGCTTTGATCGTGCACCTCTAACTTTGTTTAAAGCACAGTGCAGGCATATGCTGGTATCAGGTTCGAAATGCTGTATGTAACTATTAAATTATCACATATAATGACTTTTCTTTCTGTGTATAAACAGGCTCTCTCACACAGCACACACACACTCAGAAAGTGAGGGGTTGGAGAGAGAAAGCAGAGGGGTTGCTCAGCTGACTCTTACAGTTACGTTGGCAGCTGTTTTGTTGTTGCCACTGCTGCGTGATAACGGTCAACACACATACACACACTTGCATACATATAAAATGGCTGCCCGGGCAGGCTTTGCCACCTAACCACCACCCCCTTTTGTGCCCGGGGCATTACATAAAGCCCAGGCTCGAGCATACGCCCACTTGGCAACTGCCACCCCCAAAAACGCCCGGGCCCAGATATCAAATACCCCGAAAACCCGCATCCCCCGTTTCCATTGCGTATCCATTACGTGAGCGAGCTGTTCTGGGGCTTATAAATGCCCATCATTTCATTATCTCGAAGGACACTCGATGCGTGGGCTCTCCTCCGGATGGCATGGCATATATGTATGGATGGATGGATGTACGCCTGTTATCAGGACTCACTGGGCGTTGTCGCTTCGCTTCGATTCGATTCGGTTCGGTTGGCATGACAACGCAAAAAGCAGGCGAGACCTTCAGGTTTGTCCTTTTCACAGTTGCCAGGCACCTGTTGTGTTTGCGTCCCAAAAATGCCCGGGCTTACTTCTTTATGAGTGTGTTTGCGGCACACGCCTGTCTCCACTGCACTCGCATTTCGATAACCAGCTGCGAAACGCGATATGCCGATGTTAACCCACTGAGTAAATGGGCTCGAAAAGTACTCTGCACCTGTCGAAATTTATAGTTTCTTCAGGGAACTCGAGAATTTAACAAGAAACCATTAAACATATCACTCATACAACACTTCAATTGAAAGATATATTATCTGTATTATAGATTGGCATATAAATAACCGAATCATATTTCAACATATCCCAATGAGCAATATGTTTTTAAAATTCTCTGTTGCAAAACTAATATCTCGATTATTAAGTCGAGTGAAAAAGTACAGTTTCACTTATCTTACTTAAATCCCCCAGATAAATCATGGGATTAACCAGACAAACTAGAGGGTTTCATGCATTGAGTACAGTTGCCATATAAATTGAAGGATTTACCAGATAATTACCGGGATTTGGCATTAGAAGACGTCTGTGTCTTTATGGCGGGATTTCCCTAAACTTAACGAATAAAAATTAGCAGTCAGAAGACTCGAAAATATGTGTCACATTATGAAGAATATAATCCGTTTCATTGGTTGTTTTTCGATTCTGTAATTTGAATCTGAAGAAAAGATATTGCAAACCCGGTGACCTTGAAAAAGATTAGTCCGATTTTAAACACGAGTGTAACATCGAATCAATAGGGGTTTTTGGTCTTTAATGTATTCCAAGCCTGTTTAATGGGTTAAAACATAATGACCCCGCCCAAAGGGTCCCTGCACTTGCAATGTCAACATAATTTCGCTGCTGTCAACGACTGGCGTTTATCAAATTTCAAACGAACTGCTCTTCAGAGCTATTGGAAAGTTTTCGAGACAGCTGCCAAATGAAAACAAACCGAAACCGCATGTTCAAGCGGAAAAAACATTTGTTATCTTTTTTAAAATTCTGCAACAAGTGCATGAGTCACACGAGTGCAAAAGAGAGAGGGATCTGCGTTTATTTTGTTTCTGAAATGCGAAAAAGTATGATATACGACGCGTACACAGACGTGGGTTTGTTTGTCTGTATATACAGCTAGGAGCTGTATAGATGCTATTTGTTTAAAAGCTGTTTGTAAAATACTCGATTTGATAAACACACAAACCCGAGGCAAGAGCAGAAAGTCACCTACAGAGAAGTCGTGAATGTCTGGGGTTATCAACAACAAAATAATAATAACAATAATGGAGGCGGAGCAGAAATAAAAAACCCAAGCCGAACCGGGTGAACTGATTTGACCGTTGACAAATGTCGCCGTGTTCTCGAGAGGATGAGGGGCGTGGCACTTCGATTTCGTCAGCTCACATATGTATGTAGTTGCAGTCTCAGTTCGCGAATGTTCAAGGCGAATTGGTACTGAAATGCTACCTAAAGTACGTGGAATTATTACGCACATATGGTTGTCCGTACCCCCGCATGTCCGTATGTGTCATCAATCGATTGCCCGGCACGTAGACAACACCGCAATCATTGCCGCAAATGTTTTAATCGCATTTCGCCCTGATAAGCGACCAAAAAAGCGGGGGGAGTTACTAGCTGAAAGCATATGTTTCGCATAATAGCCAATTTGCGGCATATGTTTTCCGTTTGTCCGCCAGTAACGAAACAAGGCAATTAAAGTGCAACTTTATCGAATTGTTATCGCCTGTTCGGAAATGCAGTGCTCCCACTGATTACTAATCATGTCACTAACATCTACAAGATCCCATATGAAGTTCAGTTCTTAGCCATAAGATGCGTACGAATTTTGAACCCTAATGGTTTGCCACAAGCCCTATTAAATTTATTAACGCGAATTCTTCAGCCTACGTGACAGTTAAAGTAACGCCCAATTTCAATACCAAAACCCAATCTATTACTCGAATTGAGAGCGAATAGCTAGTTTTATACAAACTGCATTGGGGCAATCAATCTGTGAGATCAGCAACTGATCGATGGATGTTACTTTATCGTTTAGCAGCCCCCCGTTAACTGCAATCAAGTGACGAATGCACAGGGTGCCCAGTGGCGAAGATGATGAATGGCCCGGCTGACACAGTTACGCACCAAAACGATTCAATTGGGAAATAAAGCGTGCTCATGGAGGTTAGGTTGCCCCGCACACACATGGGTCGAAAAGTAAATAGAGACGCAAAAGGGGAGGTACCTGTTATTATGCACTCGCCGATTAAGCAAGCTTTGGGCTTATGCTTGTTCTGGCGATAAGATAATGAACCTACGCTATAGAGCAGACCATGTGCTCCTCCTGGTACTCCGTACTGCCCGTTCCCCATCCCCACGAACCCCTCGGAAAATGCGTCAGCAGGCGCACTAAATTCGTCGCCATACCATTCCCCGTACGTGCACTCTCGCTATTTACTTATTTCGACATTTTAATAATAAATTGCCCGGGCTGTGGGTCTCTTGTATGTCTGTGAACTTGTTCCAGTGCAAACACAGTGGTTGCGACGAATTTGGGATGCAGGTTTCAGTTGTTCTGACTGCCCGCATTCCGGTTCGGATTTCGATCCCGACTCGAAAGGGAATTTTTAATTAGCTAATCCCGCTTCGGTAACTTTCTAGCTGGGTCCATAATTATTACCGGTTTAATGCAGAACGTTACAATTGAAAGTGGTTTTGATTTTGGGGGATATTCTATGATGTGTAATAACCTGGTTTGCTTTCTTGCAGACTATGACCCCAAGGTGGTCGAACAGAAGGAGCAGGCCCAGCCTGCCTGCCTGCCCTTGAGCTACGTCCTGCGCTTCATCACCGAGGAGACCCGCAAGGAGGCGGGCTCGTTCCTGGCCAGCAACAACACCGCCCCACCGACGACCAACAGCGGCTCCAATGCCGCCGGCCATGGGAATGGCAATGTGGAGCTCAAGCGGAAGCTGGCCATCAAGCACCACAGCTACAGTATGTCCTCGTCCAACCGCAGCACCACGCCCACAGGTGAGTGAGATTGTACACAACTATAAATGTTTTATTGACTCTAATTCCTGATTCTTAACCCTCTCAGGCAGCGAAATGGACGAGGACGAAATGGTGGTCACGGAGTCGGAGGATAGCAACGACTCCTGGACCACCGAGGAGTTCAGCTCCGAGTTTATCATGCGCTATGGCAGCAGGTTGTTGATATTTATTTAAATACTGAAGTAGTTTATTTTTACGACTTGAAAATGCCAAATTTTAGTGCCACATATAAAGGGAATACTTTGCTTACATGTAATTTGCAAGAAAAAATCCCCAAAAACGAACTAAACTTTTAGTGATATCACAAGGTTGGTCACAGTTTAGAATTTGTGATTCATTGCTACCAATCATAAAATGATTTATATGATGAAAAACAAGGAATCTTAGTTTTTTTAGAACAGTTATGCAATATACACCCACTAACCTAGTTATTTACCAACTCTGGTTATTTTAAACAGGCATTCCGGTGGCGGAAACAACGGCACGCCCGGCAATGAGAAACCCTTCGCCTGCCCTGTTCCGGGATGCAAAAAGCGTTACAAGAACGTCAACGGCATCAAGTACCATTCAAAGAATGGCCACAAAAAGGATGGAAGGTAACGAAAGCCCCGACTAAAACTGATTGGTAAACTGGAAGCTGACAGTTCTATGTTCCACAGAGTTCGCAAGGGCTACAAGTGTCACTGCGGCAAGAGCTACAAGACGGCCCAGGGCCTGAAGAACCACGCTCTGCACACCCACAACTCGCAGCCGGACAGCGTGCTGAATGCCCAGCTGGCCAACGCGTTGGCCATTGGCGATGGCGCCAGTGCGTCGACCACGCCCGTGGGCAGCAACAACACCTCCTCCAATCCGAACCCGCCGCCTGTCATCCAGCGCAGCAACTCTCCGTCGCAATCGCTGGGCTCCTGAGTCCTTCGAGCATCAGCAACATGTCGAGCAGCGCCAGCAGTTGTCACGGAGGCAGCAGCAGCCTGTCCAATGGGAATAACAATGGCAATAATGGGGGCAACACAACCAGCAACACTGCCATTCTCACTGGCAATACGAACGTCCTGCAGCAGCTCAGCGCCGGGAATGTGGTCACCTTGACCAACCTTCCCACCCAACAACAGCAGCAGCAGCAGCAACAACAGCAGCAGCAACTCCATCAGAACACTGCAACAGGTAACAGCAACAACAATTTAATGCGCAGCACACTCGGTTTAGTATCCATTAAAGCCAACAACACGCCGACAGCCAAGTCTGTTAGCAATCTAATGGCCGCCAATGCCACAGCCAGCAAGATACTTAAGCTGGCCACAAATGTGGCCAACGGTGGCGCCTCTATGGACATTGTGCAGCAGCAACAGCACCAGCAGCAGCAGCACAACAAGACAACAGCCAATGGCCAAACTGTGCTCAATGGCAGCAAGCCACTGCCCAATTTGGTCAACTTGGGCATTCTCACGCCGGCCACCTCACCCACCAAAAACACTCAGACGCTGACCTTCACCACCACGAATGGTAGTAGCCAACAGCAGCAGGCGCTGGTGGCCTCGTTGGCCAAGAAGACCAACATACTGCTGTTGCAGGAGCCGAATCAGTTGCTGCAACAGGTGCAGCAGCAGCAGCAGCAACAACACCAGCAGCAGCAACAGCAGGTGCAGCAGCAACACCATGTTCTGCCCATCAGTCCCACAGCAGTATAAGCGGGAACAGCAGCAAGAGCAGCTCGCCCACGCCACAGCAGCAGCAGCAGCAGCTGGTGAAGAAGGGCAAGCTGGAGCTGCTGGAGCCCATGGACACGGACGAGGGTCAGAGCGATGGCATTTCGGAGAGCGTGGCTGCGGCGATTGCCAGCATCACGGACTGCAAGGAGGACATGAGTGGAGCAACAGTGGCGGGCATTGAAGTTGTAGGCGCTGGCGCCGTCAACGAAGAGACGTAGCCTATACTCAAGCAGCTACTGATGCACCGAAAACTGACGCTGGAACCACCCAAGGCACCACATTGACCAGCTCCTCCGTATACGAATGACACTCTGGTTTCGCCAGAGTGCCGATCTTAGGGGGCAGACAGACCCACTCACTCACCAAAACACCCATTTGGAAACATTTCGTAGACTGCTTACTTGTTTTTAGTTTAGACCCTCGACCCAATCAACTAATACTATTGTATCATAAAACTGAAGGAAAAACCCCACAAATCGCATTGATTGTGCAATATTTAATTCTGTATAATTTTAAAAGAGAGAATTTTAATCACCTTTAATTGTATGTATGACTATCATGCTTGTATTAAACTATTTACAACTGCTGATCTCCTCTTAATTTAATTAGGCTAAAAACAAAACCACCACTACACAGACGAAGCACGAGCAACAATTGTAATAAAAACCCAGCAAAATGCAAATTTCAAATTCATTTCCAACTGAACACTTCAATTATTGTTAGCACTACCACATACAACTTATTTAATCTCGGCTTTAGCTTTAGTGACTATTCGTATTCGACTAAAACCAAGTATTATTTATGTTCTAAGCTCTAGCAAATTGAATTTAATTATACGATATATATAAAAACACACCCACACATCTACTCGGATATTCAAAGTCTGCTCATTAGTTTAAGACGACCCCGACTCCGTGCAATACTTTTAACTTATGTCCTAGTTTTTACCAATTTCAACTCTCTATCGAATTTTTGGTACTCTTTATTTCGTTTCGTTTGTTTTGTTTTGATTTTATTTTATGTTTTTCGTTACTTCTTTTCCTTTTCTCTCTACCTATTGCAGAAACCTCTTACTCCTGCTCAAACAACAGCAACCTCAGCAATCCGAACAGCAACCACAGCAGCAGCGACTCCAGCAAGCCGCCGGCGACGGTCCTGTCGGTGAACAAGAGGTCCACAGCAATCGCCCCGGCGAAGCCAGCCACCACCGGCAACTCCCTGCCGATGCAGATCTCGCCCAACTTCATTGAGCACAAGTATTCGGCGCTGGCCATGAAGGAGAAGTTCTTCCTGAACCTGAGGGCCGGCAAAACGGTGTCCAGTTCATCGGGAGGCGACGGAGGGGTGGCCACAGCCCTGGGACACCAATCCGAGGTGGGCCTTTCGGGCGGATCTGGAGGAGGCGGTGGCTTGCGGGCGGTTGCTGTGGGCCAAATGTGTGCGTTGCAAAACGAGCACATACACCAAAATCTCTACAAGAAAACGATCAACTGATCGGCAGATCGGATGAGATGTGCAACCGGGAGAGGCGGAAACGCTGGGCGCCGCTGAAAAGCAAGAGAGTTGGCTGTGATGAAGTAGTAACTAACTGACTAACAAAACCGGACGAGAGGCGGAGAAAGAGGATTCGTCAATAAGGCAGATATGGGGAAAGGATGCAGAAGCTGCAGCAATTAAAGGAGGAGGGAATAAGAAGTGAGGCGGTTGGGCGCCGCCCTAAGATCCTTAGAGAAGTTTTCCAAGACAAGGCAACAAGAAGCAAGAATTTCCATTGGCTTCCAAATGTAATAACACAAAAAACAAATTCCATGCATTTCGCAATTATGAAAAAAATCACCCACAAAGAAAAAACATTAAAACTAATCTCAACCATATAAAGCAGGCCTGCTTAGAAAAGCTTCTCTAAAACAGCTTTAGATAATTTTTAAATTAGAAGCAAAAAGAAAACAAAAAATTCTAAAAAAAAGGATTAATTATACACAACATAAAATTTTAGTAAATACATTTGGAGAATTTTCTTCAACTAGTCATTATTGTAGTTAAATTAAATTTTTGATTTTATACACGCATAAAAAACGAGAACTTTGTAACCGACTGATTGGTGGAATCCCCGAACCCTATATTTATAACTTTAGCAACTACTTTCCCCTGTACAATTTCAATGAAATCTTACTAAAGGGGTTCCCCCAACCAGTCGATTAAATAATTTTAATTCAAAAGTCATAAATTGTCTAAAAGAGATCCACAGTTGAAGGAGGGAATGGAGCAGGGAAACGGAAAACGTTTTCGTGTAAACCATTTGAGTTAGGAAAATTATAGGTCGCAACTTGCCAAGGCAACTTCTAGCGAGCCGAATGAAAAAACGGAGAAGCATCAATTTATAAATGTCGAATATTTCAAACATAAAATAGTTAGCTACAAATTTAGGGGAAGCCAGGAGGCGTTTCCACTTAGGAGCCACAATAACTCTACAGTAGTTATAGTATTATAATTATAAATTACGCTATTATTTATACAACAGAGCATACGTCTGTAGCTGTGTGAGTGTGTCCGTGCATGTATTGTAATTGTTTATTTATAGTGTTCGAACGTCCCTAAGTGTAAAGTCCCCAACAAAACAAATACAAAATATACGATATGAATACGAAAATATATTTGTGCATACTCTCGACGATTGTATTTCATTGCATGCCTCTAAATTCGATCGAACTTCCTATCCTAGCAGAATCGGGTTCCTTAAGCATTCAAACAGAACAAAAACAAATGAAATTTTTAACACGATATTTACATCAAGTATACCTACATCAATTTAGTCAGCCGCCAAAACAAAACAAATCGAAACAAAACAAAAAAAAGAAAACAAACTTTTTCAGAGCGCATTTCGCAGACGCCCAGCGTCTTAAAAATTAATCACAACTAAACTAAATAGTTCAGCGTCCCTAATAGATATAACACTTAGCTTCGATGCATACTTACATCTAAACACAATATCTTTAAGACCTCACGCTTAAGCGACTCCAGACGGATCGCCCTAGTTTAGCCAAACAACTTTTATATAGACGGAAACCGTCTTCGGTCCTCCGAAGCCCCAGCGAGTTTTCAGGCAGGGGATATTTTTGGAGTATCCCTGTCTGCTCACTCGCATTCAAACTTTCAAAATGGATAATGAACTCAAACCCTCTAATGAAAACAATAAATTGAGTATGTCATTTTAAATAAGACTGCTGTTATGTTCGTAAATATATTTAATATATGTATGTAAAATTAACAAAAAACAAAACCACACACAAAAAAACTAATAAAATGGAAATAACTTTTAAATAAAAAAATCACAAAATCCAGAAAATTAATAAAAATCTAAATGAATAGTTGACGTATTCGTACTCTACCTACATACTGTGTACTATATAATGTATTGTAATTGTAATTTACTAAAATCGTAATAATACGTAGAGAATTAACTGAACTCTTAACATAAATCATCGACATCCACATCAACACGACCCCGAGAAGTCGCTACAAAAATGGAGCAGAAAACTCGAATGGTACATCCATATAAGCCACAAAAAAACATTATCATCCACAACAACAACAAAATGTAGTAAAATATTCTCTTTTTGCTTTATGTGATCTATTACATACTACATAAACATATGTATAATAAAATGTCCTTCAAAAAACTACTCAAGTGCATTAATTTGGGGTTCCGGCATGTACTCGTCGAATGTGGGGTTGGTTCATCTCACCTTTTTTAAAGGGCCTGGGAAATCAATAAAGATACACAATGCATTGCAATTCCGTCAATTAAAGTCATTTTCAGCTCAAAACTTATGGTATAGCTTTGTTTGTTCGCATCTTCATATACCATCGGCAATAAATTTTGAATTTCCAAGTCCAAGTTTGCTTTCTCTTTTAATATATGAGTCTTTGTTTCTTTAACGAACTCAATTTTAAGAGGCCTGCAAAATCGCACAGACTGCGGAGAGCGGTTCATCCAAATAACTCGACCTATCGAATCAACTAATTTTAGCGGGATTAGGGTTGTTACAAACAAAGACTGATCCAACGTGTCAGATGCATCCAATACGAAATTTTGTTTATAGAGACTTTGCCCAGTCGAACCGTCAAATCCATAACTAGCAATTAGTTTCATTTCAGAAATATCAGCATATATATTAAGCACTTCGCTTTGTAACAACATTATGCGTTCGACTATGTGCTTCAACAAGTTTTGTAAAGGAACAGACGCGACTGACTCTGTAATACATATTCCTTTAGGTCTACATTTTTCTTTTGCTGCAATCACTTTATTGTAGCTCGGATAAATGTCGCAATTCCGGTTTTTGCTATGTTGTCTTATGTTCATATATTGTCTTTTAGTAAAGCTGTTTTCTATTAGAAAATCTAAGGCTTCTTCTGGAGTATAAGGTACACGTTTAGCTTCCTTTTTTCTTCTTCCACGTTTTTTAAATGCGCCTTCTTTGCAGCGACCGCTGCAGCATGGACAAGAAGATTTGCATTATTGCCATTGTCTGCCGAAACCTCTGCTGCTAATTTGCGCTTTAAGCGAGAACTACCATCGTCGTAGCATAACCGTGGACGTCCAACAGTTTTGGCGGATTCATCAACAAAGTTACATGCTTTTAATTGTAGTTGCATACGTGATGAAAGCCAACTTTGATGTTTCGTTTTAAATCTTGTAACCATTCGATTACATTTGTTTAAATGAAAATTTACATAAGCAACAAAGTTCTTAATTTTCTTTCGAATTGACTCCTCCATGATTTGGTTAAGCTTCCTGTGACTTTGCTGCAGCACAAAATTAGCGAGGCCTTCGGTTTGCCGATTATTTGCTAGCCAAAATTCAAGCATTTCAGCGTGACTCATGTCAATGTTGTCTGGAAAAAGTCAATTTTCAGGAAAACGGGCAAAAACGGGTCAATAAGATTAATATCCTCGTATTATATACATATTGAAGAACCACATGGTGTTAATAGTTACGACAATCCACGACAATCCAACATACTTTTATTCCACGAAACACAACAAGTTTGAGGTTAGAATCGCTAAAACATCACTTTATAAAAACACATATAAACAAAGACACACCACATAAAACAAGTATTGCGTGATAACAATTATATTATAAATACCTTCAACTTCGTTTTCCATTTTAATTTGATTAAATATTCGAGGAATAACACAAAATACACCAGTTTCAAATGTGCTCTTATTTGCAAAGCATTCACAATCAAAGTTTGTGGTAAATGATCAGCTGACTTCCAGGGCTGCACAAATTTGCAGTGCTTCGATTTCAACAATACGACTATGCTTTTTAACTGCCCTAGTTAATATTCTATTGCAATAAAATATTATTTTTGCAAAACTCTTAAAAATTGATTCTTTTGGCATGACATGCAATGCCGGAGACTGCTCGACAATAAATATTTTGGAGTTTTACAAAGATAGTATCATAAGAGTTTTTATTCATTATTTTATTAATATTTCTTGCACAATTGATCGCGTTGTATTTACAAGGTATTTGTATACTTATATCTACAAGAACTTGAACGGCACCCTTGAATTTAAAATAAATATTTAAGTTTTAGGAATCAAAACCAAATTAGTTTTAAATATTTTAAAATTAAAACAAATTTAGGGGGTTCATAGATCGTTCTTACTTACTTATTATTTGGTATTTATAAAACTAACTAAATTTGCTAGCAAAGTGATTTAGCTTTGACTGCCATTAACTTATTCTCCATAATATTATAACCCATGACCTATTTAAAACTTTGGTCAACTTACTAGAAGCAAGTTGGCAAAATTTATGCAGAGACAGTGAAAATGGTACAAGGTTGCTATTAATATTTCTGGTAATACAAGTATTAAATGTTTTGTAAAACAAGCTTGTCATTTCATTCCAGAAATAACCATATCAACGCTTGTAATATTTTCTAATTTCATTTTCGGTCCTTGGCATCGATTGATTTCTGAGCAGGTGTCTTGAAGCACACAAACTACGAGCCAGTGCATTGATGAGGGGGAATATCCTCGGGTATCCTTGACCATCCAGGTATCCTTGACCTTAGGCCGACTCGCTGGCTCCGTACAGCAGATTGTCCAGTTTCAGTTTGTTGATCTTATCGCCCCGGGCTCCGTGTCCTGGTCTTCCCCAGAATGTTTCGAAGGTGTCGAAGTGCTGGTTGCACAGATCCCTGTCCATTTGCTTGAAACGGAGTGCGAGCGACGGTTTTGCGATATTTGGACATTCAGATCGTGAAGATAGCGCATGTCGGCGGCGGTTTGAATCCTGGTTGTAGGTCGATTTGGTGGGCAGCAATATTTTAGTTTCATTTAAATCATTTCGAGTTTTCAGTATTTGGATTTTCGAATTTCAGAGCGATTTTTCAGTTCGATTTTCGGACGGGGATACATAGAAGATTGGATTGGTATTATGATTTTGGATTTTGCTGTTGCAGTTTGTTTGGTTTTGGTGAGATTATTGGTTTGCTCTTTTGCTATACTTTCACTTGTATTACAATGGATATTTTCTTGCTGGATGAGAATCCGGGGAGAAGTGGGGGATTAGAGAAACCATTAACATGGGCAAGATCAAAACAGGGGTTCAAGAAACAGAGGGGGTCAAGCGGATTTTCATTTTCATTTTCGGTATATATTCAGCACAGAGCAAGCAAATGAGAAACGGAGGGGGATGGGTACTGTGGTAATATGGTACTATGAGAGCAGGAGAGGATCAGGACTAGGGGAACATGGTTTGTTTAAGCCTGGCGAATGTGCAGGGTTAGCCGCTTGAGGCAGCAGCCCGTGGCCAAGGCCGTGGGGCAATCGCAACTGCAGCACTGCAGCTTGCAGTTCAGATTCTTGGGCAGCCGCTTCATGTGGCTGATGTTCTTGATGATGCTGTTGATGCACTTGATCTTGCTGGTGGTCAACTGACAGTTCTTTGGTGGATGCTTGTGCTTGGATGCGTACCTATCGTGGGACGGCGTCCTCTTGGTCACATCTGTGCTGGAGAGCGAGATGGGTCGGTTCATGCCACGCCTTCGGGCCAGTAGCGGAACTAGCTCCACGCCGCCGCCCTCGCCATAGGGTCCTCCATTTCCCCCGGCGGTGCTGGCCTCCGGAGTGGCGGTGCTGGTGCTCCCGGGACACGGACCTCGTGTGGCCATCCGGGGCACAGTTTGATGGGCTTCCCCCCGCAGTCCTGTGGCCTCAGGTGGTGCAGGGTCTTCCCGGGCGGCGGACCAGGCGGACATGGCGGTCCTGGCGGACCCGGACACTTCTTTCCCGGCGGAATGGGCAGCGAAAGTGGAGATGGCTTCGGGGGACTCTTTTGCATGGCGGGACAGTTGCAGGTGCACATCTCACAGCAGCGCTGCGGCTTTGGTGGCTTTGCGGGTCGCGATTTCCGGAACGTGTTCTTCTCCGCCGGGGTCACTGGGTTGTCCTGGTCCAGCTCCTTCAGCATCTCCTTGTTCGTCCAGCCCTAAAAATGCACAATTTTAAATTTCCAGGTAAGCTTTTGCTTCAAAACATCTAGAGGTTGAGCCTCTTGCTTGTCCTAAAATATGCTCAATTTTCAGCACTGACTTGTAAGATGAAGCATACTTTTAGACTTTGTCAGGCTTTTAATCTATACAGATTTTTGTGCATTTTTATGAATCTTTGAAAATCTATTATAACAATAACTATAATTCTCACTGTCAATCAGCTTGACATGTATGGACATTTTTCAACCCATTTTATACATAAAGAGATCTTACCAGTGACTTCATGAAGGTGTTGCCCACTTCCTTGGGACTCCGCCAGGGCTTGCCGCCAGGACCCGCCTTGCCCCAGGGCTCCTTGCAGGGCTAAAAAGTGGAAAAAATAATAGTGGATCAGTAAAAATATGCACCACAAGGCGTAATAAGTGCCGCTCACCGGCTTTTCCAGCTTGGCCTGCAGGCGCTTCTTCTGCGAGGCCAGCTTCTCCTGCAAAGGACACCGCTGCTCGCTTTCGCTGACCACGATCTTCTCCAGCAGGGGCTTGCCCTTGCACGGAGGCGAGGGTTTGTATCGCAACTCTATGTCCACATGGCCTTTATTGCGAAACGACATTGAAGGATGTTCTTTCAGCTCGATGTGAAGACTCTCACCGTTGGCGTTTTTGGCCACATTCACACCAACTCCAGCTCCGGGCTTATGGGGAATCTCCCGCTCGCAAATGGTTACGGTACTGCTCCTGGGTCCGCTTTCCTGCAGGTGGTGAACGGAGTGGGCGTGGCCCAATCGCCCACCTGGGGGTGGAGGAGGCGGGGCATGGTGGTGGTGGTGATGGTAGGCGGCCAGCGGATTGTTGTGGCACTTTTTTTGCATCGAGAAGAAGTCGTTGTAGCGACACGGTTGAAGTAGATTCAGCCGGTGGGCAGTGGTCTATTGGTTATATTAGTTATTGTAATATTATATCCTATTATTTTTGGGGGGCGCAAATCCTTACCACAGTGGGCGTGGAGTGGAGTCCCACTGCTGTGATATCCTTGCGGCGCACTTCCACGTTGGGAGCACCACCGCCTGGTCGACCCCAAGGACAATGTTGGTGAAACAGGTCGTAGTACTGGTTAAAATAAGTGGATATTCATATTACATATGCTATGGGAAATATATCTTAAATACTCCGAATTTTAAGAAATTATTTATTAAAGTGTCGAGAAGTGTGAAACGATAGTGTTATAGGCAGCGTTTTTCACTGCATACTTTTTGGCATCCTTATAAGTGAATTCAAAGCTCATATTTCTCATAACCAATCTAAAAATAGATAAGATTAATCATTAAGGGTCTGTGCAGAAATAAATTCTATTTTATTTTAGATTTGTTGGAATATCATAGGATCAGAGCGGTTTTCTTAATTATGTTACTTGACCTACTTTGACAAAACTAATTCAGAATACAAAATTGTGGAATTTAATACCTGCTCTGCTAGCAAGACTCTGCCGCAGGATGATTACAACACCGAGTTATGTCTTATTGATTTGGTGGCAGCCTATTTATGGTTCCAGACTGCCTCAACCCACCTCGTCGTGTCACCCCGCGAAGTGTGGCGTTGTTTGTTGACGGAAATTGGCAAACTCCCTGAAATGCCCGCTACCCTTTGCCCACGAACTTTGTTTGTAGGTTGTTGTTATAGTTGCAGTGAACGGCGATTTGCATTTCACTGATTTTTTTCACCCACATTTCGACTGGCGCTTTCACACAGCTGCAGGTTGTGATAGGTAGCCAAATAATCAGCCAGGATTCCAGTCACGCAAGGACTCGCAGGAGTGCCCAACTGGCATTTAGTTGGGCATTTAGCCGAGAAAAAGGTGATTTGATTACCGAAGTCGAAATTGTCAAAGGGTTTGTTGAACCAAATCCGTGAAGGCGGATGTATTACATGTTGCTTGGCGAAGGTCTTTGAACTTAGCCAAAGTTGCAACTATCGCGTGGGTGAAGGTTCGAGATTTTTTCGATTGTCATTGGTTCTTTTCTGGAAGTTTATTCGAGTGTTGTGAGAGAACTCGGGAGCAAAGGAATTGATTTTTTACTTTCAACTTTGGAATTTTAAAATTCTTAAAGAAATTCTTACAAAGCTAAAAGGTATTTCATTTTGAGTTTCAAGTCGAGCGTTCTAAAATTGGTAATCATTTTTAAAGAAGTCCAAAAGTATAGCGTCGGATTTTCGAAAAAGTTCTATAGATTGTTTTGGATTGCAAAACATATTGCAGCATATTTTTGGACACCTTTTTATTATTTCAAGATTCTTAGTTCCAATAAGCTATCAAATACCACTCATTCGCACTGTTACCCACCTCCTGTTTATCCTTTTCCTTGCGGGCGCACTCCTCCGCCTTTCTGCGCCGCCACATGCGAAGACTCTCCTCAGCATTCTTCCGCTCCACAAGACGCTTCTTCTCATCGCACCACATCAGCGGATGCTGGATGTGGTCGTGGCAGAAGTTGCCACCCATGCCCATCTCATCGCTGGTCGTCATAGCTCCGGATTCGCCAGCTATATCTTATATATCTCCAATGAAAATGTGGGGAACTGGAACTGGGAGAACGAGAACGGAAGTAGCGCTGCGTTCAGCAAACGCCGCGTTACTGAATCGGTCTCGTGTCCTGGCCAAGCCGTTTAACCGCCGAATTGGCTGCCAGGATCCGTATCCACAGCCGTGCCAGGCACTAAGGGGCCACGGATGATGGGTCGGTTGTCTAGGCAGCACGCCCGACTATTTATAACCTAGGTTAAGGCACACTTCGGTCGTCTGTCCTTGAAGACAAGTCGAAGGATTTATCGGAACCTCAGCTAATTTGGTTTGGCTATTTAAATATTTCGCCAGTTAGACACGATGTTCGCCTGCTCCACTTTGCTCGTCTGCCTGGACATAAAATATATTTACTTTATATTGCCTGGAAAATTATGCCACGGCTGCCTTGACTTAACCTGATTCGTGATGTTTTGTTTTAATAAAACGGAAAGAAAAGTGAGGGCTACTGCAGCATTGCGTGCCATTAAACCCGAAACTTGTTGATGTTTTAAAATGAAAAGTTCTTGGAAGCCTAAGCAATACTCATACGCCCCATGTGGCAGCCAACACACACTGCCAAACTGTATTTGTTTGCTCCAATTTCCATATCAGCCATGCCCGTCGCAACATAAAATTCTTTGGCCATGTCCTAAACTATTCCACTAGGTCGTCATGGTGGTTAATATGTTGCATAGCTACAGGGAATACTCCACCTTGAAGGATGTGTAGAGTATCCATCGTATAGAAAAATCCACTGCACTTTGTTTTACAAAATCGAATTTTTATTCATCTCTTTAAGTATACAAATATCGTAATTACAAGTATCAATATCAACATCATTATCATCGTTTTGTCGTTCGCCCTCTAAAACATTTGGGTAAATCGTCTTTTCAGCACCCATTTTAATTGATCAACTGTCCAGGATTGGCATTTTCGCCCTTTTGGTTTCAGTTTTAGTTCGTTTTCTCTTTTTTCTCAGTGTAGAGCTGCAGGCTGTAAAGGAGCCCAATGGTTTTTTTCGTCAAAACTATACACACACAAAAAAAAAAACAATTTCCGCTGACTGACTTAATTGAGGTTGTGTTTATAAATTAAAATATAAACTTAAATTAAATATAGTTTTTTAGGCATTCCGAAATGGGGGTTTGCGGTTCGATTTTGTGTTAAATGTCTTATAAATTACTATTGCAATAGAAGCGGAGAAGGTTTTAAAATTAAGACTGGGCAGCATTGTTTCACGTACAATCCTTATTACTTTTCTTATAGAACATTATATTATGTGCATTTCATGCGCGAATGGTTCAAAATATTTTAATTAATCCAGCTAAACTACGGGCTTCCATTTTAAGTTACATGTTTGTGCGGTCGGAAGGGATTTCGAAAAAAGAGTGCAGGCAATATGACCATTGAACCATTTAGGCATGAAATGCCCTAAAAAAAGTATTTAATATAAAATAAACCATTTATGTTATTTCCTTCTTGCTTCGTGTTATAAATATCGTTTACACACTTGTTTTCTCTTTGTTGCATTTGACTAATAATAAACATTTTCCCTTTTATAAGTAGTTTTCCTCTCATTTGTTGCTCGGCTTGGCAACCCCTTTCGATTTCTTTTATTTTGAAGAAATATTTGTACAATTTTCTCGTTTTTCTTATTGTTGGCCTTCGCTCACATCTCGCTCTCCACATATATGTATAAATAAAGTTTTCGAAAAACATTGCATATAAAATTTGTTAAAAATTCATTGAACATCTCGTTATTATGTACAGCGAACGATGCCGTTTAGTGTGTGTTGATTAGGTTTGTTTATGCAATTATTTACAGTGTCAACAACAAATGCCTAAAAACTAAATAATAAATCTTGTTACAAATCTAGCCCGCTGGCTGAACAGAACTTAACCGAAACATCAAGTGTGGCCTACATAACACTATATTATTGCATTACGCGTATGTTATTTATGTTAGGGTGCATGGATGCGGCTCTACTTCATGCGGTTGATGACTAAGTCGGCGACCACCTGGAGGCCCTTCTGGTAGGGCGACTCCGTGAGCTCCTGGGCCAGCCGTATCGCCTCGTTGCAGTGCTTCTTGGCCAGGAACCGAGTCTGCTCCAGGCCGTGTGACTTGTGCACCAGCTCGAAGGCCCGCTCCACGTCGCCGGGCTCGCTGAAGCGCCGCATCACCATGGGATTCAGCTCGGGGTACTGGAAAACATGAGGAAAAGGCATTTAAGTTATGCAGCTCTGGCAGTATGCAGCTTTGAAACGCCTTTCGAACGCACTGCACGCGTGCGCAGCCCGCGGAATGCATAGCAAATGGGCATTGGTAATCGCTGGCAATTGAGTTACAGATCCATCTGTGCACCTAGCCAACCAGCAACCACCCACCCACATGACATCATCACACCTTCGTCGCCGACACCATGAATACATCATCATTGCGACGGCGGGAAGCCACTTTGGATGCAAAGCAATCGGTAAACTGGACAAAGAGACATCTCAATCTGGCTTATTGGTGCACACAGAACAAATTCGAACAGTTTGGAACATTCATTTAGAAAATAAACTATAAAACAGCAAATGATCAAAAATGTTTTAAAATCACCTGAAGAATTTGAATTTTAAACAGCGAATTGATTGAAATAGCATACTTTTAGAAGCATTTTTAATTGACATCAAATCTGTAGATTTGTATAATAGGGCGCTACAATTTATTCTCTGTGCATATAATCTATTGGCAAGCCAATGAGGAAACATCAAATGGATTCCCAGACTCCGCACTCACCTTTTCGCATGCAAAGAGAACGGGGGCGGTGGCCAATCCCAGTTTCAGATCCGCCGCCGTCGGCTTGCCCATCTGCTCGGTGGAGGAGACAAAGTCCAGCATGTCGTCGACCAGCTGAAAGGCCAAGCCAATGTTGCGTCCATACTGGAAGGCCACCTCGGCCACGTTGTCGTCGGCCTGGGCAATCACGGCGGTCTGCAGGAGAGCCGGAGAAACAAGTGGGTTCAAGATCAGTTGGAATTGCAGGGGGATTGGGAACAATGACGCGAGACTGCGTGCAAACTAATTGCCGAATTAAGCGGCTCAGTCCGCCAAGTAAGTGCCAACTGTTCATGATTGCATGATGGTAATGAATACTCACCGCCTTCAGTGCATTGGCGATCAGCGATGCGGTCTTCCTGTATGTCTTGGTCAGATAATGGGCGAAGCGCTCGTTCTCCGTTTCCCTTGAGCCCAGCTGCATGAACTCGCCTTGGACCAAATCGGTCAAGATCTGCAAGAGATTACGGACAATGCGTCATAAATATGTCACTATAAACGGCTGGGGTTATGGTTATGGCTTCGATTGTTCTGGTTTAGGGTTTCCCACTCGAAGATGAATGGATCGTTACGCAATTTGCAATGTACCCTGTACACTGATAAAAATGTAGCACGATATGTATTTGACCAGTTATATTATTGCAGTACCCAATTTGTATTCCCAAAATACTAAAATATCTAAATATGGTTTGAAACCACTTATAAACATGTTTTAAAGTATGCAACAACATATTTTATGCATACTTTTAGACACCTTTATTTAGTATGAGACCCTTTAGTTTGTTAGATTAAATCGATTTAGTCCCAATATAAAATCAATTTCCTTTCCGTGTATAAAAACATTGATACGCTCGTGTGTAAGTAACTTCCGCTTGGCTGAAAGCTCAAATGCAAATGGCAAATACAATTGTGCCAAATAAATCTGGCAAACAAGATTTCATTCAGATCTCCATAAGAAGTTGAATATTTTGGCTATCGGCGCTTCTGTTTGCCCATCAATTGTTCGGCACCACGCCCTTCGATTCGCCTTCAAATAGGCATTTTCATTGATTCGGCCACAAAAAATCACAGGCACTTGTCAAAATCTTTGGTAAACAATCGTGGGCGCTGAAAAATGGCGGTTTCCAAGGAGCTCAAGGTGATTTGGCCATAACTGGCCAATAGTTTCTGGCCAAATTCCTCGGACCACTGCTGGACTTTCAATGTTAATTAGCACTGACAAAAAAGCCAGCTACAAGTGCGTGAGCTCTAACAACTTGGCCAACAAGTGCATTTGGAGCCACAAAAATTAACACAATGCCGCCTTTTAAGCAGCTAAATGAGACCAAAAGCTGCAGCCAGCGGAATTGAGTGCATTTTGTGAAAAATATTATGGTTAAGCCTCGAAACCACTTTGCAAGGCACTTGCTTGGATATTTTCTTTTGAATTGCCTACTTCCGACAAGGGGAATTTGGCGGTTAAAGTGGGTACGTAATCAAGTTATTTTCAGGGTGCGTTTGCCAAATTGTCAATTGACTGATAATGTCTGGGCTTTTCCAAGGGCGTAAAAAGTCTTAACTGTCTGGTTTAGCCCAAAACTCAGAGATAGTCATAAATTTGCTTGATTGAAAGGCAGACGGACAATCTACCCGTTTTATTAATGCCATCCAACGTCTTAGATACCGCTGATTTTATTCAGACTCGTGCGTAGAATACTTAATATGAAAAATGTGACAAATATATGCCGAGGATTGTAGATTTTTGTAGATGAAAGAAACAGGCAAAAGACGCCTATAAATGAAAGACAAAATGAGTTGGATGAATACAAAGATTCGATTCTGGTTTCTTCTATCCAAAATTTAAGTAGACATTATAAAAGTACCAACTCAGGTTAAAAAAAAAATTAAAAAAATATTGTTCAGATTAATTCTACATTTTTGTTTTAAAGAGTGTGTACGGTTATGCTTGACGAAAGCTCTTTTGCTCATAGTTATATTCCACAGCTCAGAGAAATTTAAATAAATAGTGGAGACCAGTTGTAGCTGCTTAGCCTAGAACTAGTTTCCAAGACGAATGACCTCACGATCGCGAAGAAAGTTTCATTTTGGCGGGGTCAAAATGTTTGGAATGCAAATGAGCCGAATTATGCGAGTTGCGATAGATACACGGGCATGATATCGCCCAGATTGAGGTAATGAAATAAACAAATAGCTGGGGGATAAGTGTCTAAGCCGCACCTTGGGCCATCTTCTGTCCACAGGCCAATCCTATGGTGTTACGCATGTTTTTGTATTTCGCGAATTGAGAAAACGCCGAATGTGTAACCCAAAAACGTAGGCAAGTTTACTGTGTTTGCTTTGGCTATTAACTTGGCCCGCCGCTCGTTGTGTAAATATGCAGGAAGAAGCTGCGGCTTTGAAGAGAGATTGAGATCGAGATTCGGAGCCACCTTTGGGTTTCCAGGGCAACAGATCTAGTTTCACTCTCCATCGAAAGTGAAACTGGCAGGTGTGACTAATTTGAAGTTTATAGAAACTACGTGGGGCAGGCGGAAAAAAGCGGTGAAATATCTCTGCGGAATGTGGCCTCTTCACACCTGGGGGAATCACAAGGACACGGATGCATATTGTTGGAACATAAAAAGTGAATGCCGCTTTGTAGCAAAGTTTCTCGAACTCTGGCGAAGGGCAGACCTTGGAGAACCCAACTTTCAGGGACGCAGGAAGTTTGCAGGCCGCGTTGATTTGTGCCCCATTAAAATTGGCAACTGGTTTGGGAACGGGAAGTGGTTTCCCCGCCAAATGGATCGAGCAACTTTCATAATTTTGAGACAAAAGTTCCCTCCTGTTTGTCCAGTATAGTGCTAAATCTGGCACCCGATCTGATTACGTACTTTCTCAAATACCATTACGTATGGTTTGTTCTTGTGTACAGCGATAGTTCCTCTGAATCCGGGAATCTTTTTTTCCCCAATCCAAATACTTGGGTATTGTTTGTGTTTGCCTTGCCAATTTACTAGCAGCATAAAATGTGCGAAGTACTTGGTAAGTTCTGTTTGTTTTAGGTGGCGAGTGCAAAAAACTCTAAAGTATCCGAAAGAGTTTAAAGTTATTTTCGTAAGATGATCAATGGGGTTCTAGGTTCATGGTAAGCTTAAAACTTAACCAATATCAGTAACTTCTTAATTTATTTTCTTGACATATGATAATATTTGTGATTATATATTTCCCTATCTTAAGACCTTATTAGTCATATCCTTTAAATGCATGTTTTCTTACCTGACTCAGCACGATCGTCACATCATCGCTGCGCAGACGGCTATCATAATCGAGGCAATCGATAAGATATAATCACCAGCCATTGTGACCTGTAAAAGCGATGAGACATGGTCAGAAACATGGGGCCATAACAAAAGATCGGCCAACACAATCGCTGGAAGACAGTTATGTGTTGCAAGAGTCAACAGCCAGCAGCAAGATGGTGTGAAAACAATATAAAGCTCAACCGACACACGTATGACTAAGATGATCAAAGACAAGAAATTACCGCTTCTTGTGAAGATTGGATTGGATTAATTTATGATTTTAATTTGAAGACATGTGTCGAAAGGGAAACTGCAGCTTCGAGGTATTGGGATCTATTATTAAGTCCCATGAAGTGGAATCGCCATCCGATTTTGAGGCCTTTCAAATGATGCAAGATACCCAGATGTTGACAAAGTCAATAAACACTTCAAATCGAAATACGCAACAAATTGATGTCAAAGTCAGACTATGGGAGCTGAATGATTGCTGTTTTGGTTGCCGAGCGACTCTGGGCGCGTGTTTGGGTTGGTTTGTTTGGCCCGGGCAAACATCGGTGGCACCAATGGTGCTGCATATCACCAAATCACACTGGCCAAAGGGGTCTTACCTTTTTATGGTTCCAAAGAGCATTCACGCTGGGCTTGCCGCGTCGGAAGTCCGATTGATCGATGACATCGTCGTGGACCAAACTGGCCGAGTGAACCATCTCCGAAAAGAGGGCGATCTGTCGCTGCTTGTGTACTAATTGGCTGTCAAGGCGATAGGAAAAAATGATTTAGGATTTGGATTAAAACTACACCTACATATTGTGCAATTTACGACTGTTTTGATTTGACCGAAATGCGCACATTTCGCAATGGCATGCTAATTATTTACACTCGTCTACCTAGAGGAATAAAATATTTATCAGCCATCTTTGGATATTCCTATCTTCGTTATGTATCAGACTCAAATTATATATTTACCATGTCTCAATTACAAGGTTTTTAAAAAATATTAAATATTTATAGTAGGAACCCCTGATATGGATAATTAATAACAAGCTTAAGCAGATGCAATTAAACTTTATGACTCCTTTTATATTGCTTGTAAAATCTTGACGTACAAATTAATAAATGGGCCCATAAAACATATATGATCATAATTATTTCCTTCTGCACTAATCCTGCCCTTAAATGTCCTATAAACTCACTGTGACTCGTTGTTCAGGTGATAGTTTATCGCCTTGGCCATCAGCATGGTGACCATGGGTCGCAGGGCCTTTCCCTGGCCATCGAAGTAGTAGCTGGCAATGGTGTCCAACTCTGGCTGGGATGTCCCCGACTTCAGCAGCTAAAATATAAAAATACAAACAAGATGATAATTAGTCAAGCCCACTTTCAGTTGGACCATCTAATCAATAACGATCTCCTAAAATCTGAATGGATTTATAATGTTATTAAGTTTTGTGATTTTACATGTTTATTTAGTTCCAGTTAGGCTTGTTAGGTATAATACGGATTATTAATAAAAATAATGATGGTACTCCGTATTCAAAATAACAATATATTAATGAAAAATTTATTTTCTTAGCTTAAAAAGTGATTCTTAGTTAAATAGTTCAATTTCTACTTACATATCTCACGTCGTCGTAGAAGTACTTGAGGTCGTCGTCGAGTATGATGTAGGGATCGATCTGGAACTCCCTCACAGGACCAGCTGGCTGTTGTGTGTGCACCGAGCTGTGTTGCCTCACATTGCCTGGGAGCTCTGTGAGTACTTCAGACTGTGACTGCATTTGTGGGGACTTTGCTGCAGGTTAGACAAAATTACAAGAACGGTTAGCAATTTCGGGTAAGTGCTGCAATTACTAACAAAGTGTGAATAATGAAGGGGCGAACGAGTCACTTAACAACTTTCAATTGCGGCGAGTGCCACGACTAACAAGTTTCGCCTTGCCCGCCAGCGTATTTTCTGTTTTCAGTTTTGCCGAAAAACTAATAACTGGAAAATTGCAGCAGTTTTGGGCTGTAACCGCCTGCAAATGGCCAACTAATTGAAGTCAATTGTTAACGCCCTCGCGCGACTCTTGACCTTGTCGCCAAAAAGTGTGTGGTTAAAGCAGCAATTTCTTTTGTCATTGAGACAAAAGACAGCAACACGCGCTGTCGAATTGCCGGGCAAAACGTTTTGTCTACAACAGAAATTGATCCATTTTCCACACAGAAACAAATATATATTTTCGATATTATAAAGCTAAATGATAATAAAATTGTTGTCTTCACTTCTATCACCTATGCTTAACTTTAAAGGCCATCTATCCATCTATTATCTTTTTTTCCGGTGCACTGCCTTTGATTTGATTTCCTTTCAAAGGCATTTATAATGCCATTATGCAATGTGTGACTTTGCTTGCTTCTTGTGCAGCCTGTCAACTAGTCATCCAATCAACCAGTCAGCCACTCAGTCTGTCAATAAAAGCCAACACTTGCTGGCATGGGGTATGATAACATGTAAATTCGATGTTGCCAGCTGTCGGCGAACGGGGCAACCCAACTTTTACACCACCAGGTATTTGGATAGTCGGATGTTTGCCCTGGGTGTGATGGCGGATTACGCGGTGACCCACTTGTGGATATGGGATCCTTACTTGGGCCAATGACCATCACTCACCGCCCTTGGCAAACGATCTTCATCCGCATCATCTGCAGCATCATCACCACCATCATCATCTGGGGAACTACACGTGTGGGTTTGGGAGCCAAACTGGTTCGGTCTTCAGGGGTCCACAGCATCGTAAAATACCCAAACAAATTGTTGACCATTGAAAAGAGCTTGTAATGACCCAGTTTCATATTTAATATGTGTCATAAACATCGGCATGGGCTTAGCATTGCTTTTGGCGAGTAGAAAGCGAACAAAGGTTCGGGGGCTTATTACAAAATCGACGCATCACAATTTACAGCAGCAGCCGGAAGAAATCCAATTAAATTCGAGTCGAGCGCGGTAACTTTCGTTTTCGATATGTGCGCCAAATTAAAATTAGTTGATAATATTTGCAAAGGCCAAAAGATAAAAGTAAGTGAACGAAACAAAACCCGCATTTCCATTTCTTATGTGGAACGTGCAGAAATGCATTTAATTGTGGCTATTTCGAGTTGGCCGCATACGTTGAATGACTTTTAAGCGCTGTTAAATGGTTTTTACGGTGGTGCCCACGAAAGCCGAACGGATTTTGAGTGTCTTTAAAGCTCTAAACCCGATGAACTGCCTGCCGTTGGCCACTTGGTAGTGTTTTGGATCAAATGCGCATTTTTAAGCCAGGTCAATGATCTGCGCTGATTCTGGGTGTCTGCCTAATCTCGATTTTTAGTGATTTCACTTGCCAAATTTACATTGAGGTTTGCGATTTTGTTGCGTGCACAAAACAAAAACAGAGGCTCTCAAAGTAACCACATAGGAAGTAGACTATTTCGTTGCACTTGGCTGCTGAAGACGAACCGAGGACTTTGACTCAGTTTTAACAATGTGGTCTATTTCGTAATCATGGAAGGAAATGTGAAAGGTCTAGAAAAGTCTATATTGTGCTTTATAAAAAGATGGAAATTCGTTGAAACTTAAGTTTCAATGATTTTAAAGGCTTTCAAGTTTCAATTGATATTGCTCAGAATCATATTGAAAAGGGGAGTTTCATCAATACAAGCATAGTTTGTAATCGATTTCGTATCTTTGTTTCATGCTAAATATTTGTTTAACCCCAAAGCCAAATGTAAACTGAAACCCCTCTAACTGCAAGTTTTTCGAGATGCAGAGTTCGGGTTCCAAGATTATCTCGCATCGGTTGATAAGGTTAAACCGCAATTAGCCTGGCGCAATCCAACACTCCAAGATATCCAGTTTAACCTCCTTTTGGCCCACATGCAATGTGGCCACAAAAGAGGAGCCGCAACAATTGGCCAGGCAACTTTCACATCGATTCAAAAGGAAATAATAATAATGATCTCTTCGGCAACAATGTGGCAAATAATTTACTTTTATTTGCTTAGCTGCCGGCGGCGCCTCTGCCAATTTTCATTTAAATACGCGCGTTTTCGGAGTCATTAACTTAATTGTGGAATAATATAAAAAATGGGCGCAGTGATCAAAGCAATTGCAGCATTTAGCGGAGTGTGCAAAAATCGACAAGTCAAGTGCCAAAAGCGAATCAAATAAAACTGGAATTTTCGCCGCTGGGCGCTCCCACGACATAATCCTCTCTAGATACCATCCAAAGCATCCAATTCAGTCCAAAACCCATCCCACTCGAGGTTGCCAGCTGAAGATGTGGACAATTAACGGCTGAAAGTATTTAACCATTTTCGAGTGCCAGGCAAAACTCGCACTGATTGATGTCTGCTTTGATTGAAGGCCAACAAAACGGGGATATTGCAACATTTTGCATTGGTTATTTATGGCTTTACGACTCACTTTTGTGAGCCTCCTCATTGTTGTGATTTTTGCTCTTGTTTTTGACCGGAATTCGGTCAGTTTTTTTTGGCAATTTGTATGCCGCTTGGTTGAGGTATCTTAAGCCATTTTTATTCATTATGGCAATATGCGAAACTCGCCAATTGCCTTTGCATGTTGCTATTTTAATGGAGGCCGACTTTGAGTACGAAAACTGTTAGCACCTGCGATTTAAAAACTAAACATGCTAAAAATTATTCAATTAAAGTAATCAAGTTAACAAATTTATGCTTACGCTTATGGCGAAGAGAACAATTCAGGGGCTAACTACTTACATTTATTTATACATTAGTCGGCTGTAAGGACGTAGTTGCTTGAGCACTTAATTTGGTTGCTGACTGTTTTTTAAACAATTATTCAATTGTAAGGACATTTAAGTTTAGAGTTAATGATCTATTCTGAGATAATTAAGCTCAAGTTCTTCCGTTTACAAAATTTGCTGGACTTAATTATTTTTTTTGTAAATGATCTTCAAAGTTAGTTCACTTGACATCTAAGAAAGTTCTGTTTCTCAATAAGCTAAATTTATAAAATATCAAATATTCGTATTTCTGGGAAACAACTCTTCCGACCTTGCAAAATTGAGCAAAACCCTTCTGCAACAATCGAATCATTTCCCAACAATTTTAATTTCTTGTTTCTGGCTGGCTGAAAAAGAAATACCGCCGCCTTGATCGAACATGACAGGCCTTTGGTAGCGGAAGCGGCCAAAAGCAAGGTATTGGCCAAAAGCGGACACAGAGAGACTTGGCCAAGAAAGTGAGCGACTGAGGGCCGCGAAGACGAGGCTTTGGACTTACTTTCCCTTTTTGTCATCGCTGCTCGTGGTTGTATTGCCATGGCTGACATAACCCAAAGTTTGTGGGCAAGACTAAGAGGGGGTTTGAGAGGGGAAAATAGCGATTGGCTCTGTAATTTCTCCGTTCGATTTTAACCGATGGAGCTTCTTCATTAGCCAAGTTCGCAGGCAAGTGGTTGACATGCGTGTTAACAACCCAGTGCGCACCGCAGGCAGCCAAACTCAAGTGAGTGTGAATGCCAAAGTGGCCGAGTGTTTGCCTCCAAACTGGGCAATTTGTGTTTGACAAAGTGCTCACTGCGGCATTGAGAACTCTTCTGAAGTTTCTTCTCAAAACGATGCAGCGGCTCGAGTGGATAGCATAATCTATCCGCATTATTTGCTAATGTCTCAATCGCGAATGCCATAATGCGTCACGGTTTCATTGCGATCGCAATAAGGCTCATCAGAAACTATGACAACTGCAATCGATTGACCAATTGGGGTCTGCAAATCACAAACAAAATAACATAAATGGCCACAGAGTAAGTGGGATAATTTGGGAAATCCCGAAAAGTATTTGATTATGTAGGTTCAAATACATACTGTAAGATTGTCATGAATATCATTATACATGTTTTATATGATTTTAAAAAATGTAAACTTGATTGGAAAAATGCATGTTGAACATGAAAATTCAGCAATTAAATATAAATGCTCTTCCAATGTCGATACCCCCATTATTTTATTTCCACCTAATGAGTTGTCATCCCAAAAGTGGACTCCTTACAAAGACTTTTCTTTATTAATTGGCATAAACTTGATTTCCGATCCAGTTTAGCTTGGGCATTTTCCGCATCATATATTAGTAGCAATCGAATCGAGTCACACGGAATTCCGCGATCACTTTGGTTATTGCGCAATGGATTTACATTGAATTAGTGCGTGCTTGCCACGCCGCTGCGTGATATTGACTATGGAGCGACTTTAAACGCTGCCGAAGCAATGGCGAATGCGTTTTAAACGGAATCCGATTGTAAAACGCCGAAAAGCGCGAAGCCTGTGAAAATCATTTAATAGCCGAGAAATATTTGCAGCCTACCATAATTTTGAAGGCGTCAGTGTGCTGTTGGTAATTATAACAATCTGTCAAAAGGCAAAAACACTAAAATGCAACCAAAAATAAGGTTCCCGAGGAAAGGCAAAATGTTTTTGCAGACAAATTGGAAACCAGTTAGTCGTGGAAAACCAGAAAATTCAAGTTTATCCTGCATTGGCGGCTTTGGGTGTAAATCAACCCAAAAATTACATAAAAAGCGCAGAGGCAGACAGGAAAAAACAAAAATTTCCGAAATGCAAACTGCAAATGCGACGCGTGCCGCCAATAAATGCAGATCTAATTTTTCGTTTTAATTTCTGGCCAAGAGGTTTCGAAATAGGCAGCCGTAAAATGTGGAAAACTTTTAACCAAATTCCAATGCTAATTAGGTGACCCCAAAACCCTTGGCCAAATAACAGAGCCCAGTTTGGAAGTCAGAATGCACAGGCAAGCTTTTCCAACAGGTGAGGCAATCAGTGTGGGAATATATGCACACGGCGCCCCAAGATAGTCAAATTTATGATAATTGCTGATAAAAATAAAACATCAATGAGTGTTATCCGAACGCCCAAGAGGCAGCAAAGTCGACCAATGAGCGACATTGATGAAATGCGAGGCTGACACCTGGTCAGACTGGGGTTTGGTTCGGGCCGGGTTATGCAACTTGGTCAAAACTATGCGAACCAAACTTGCTCCACCGCCCAACACCGCTCCCTTTGCACACTGAAAAAAATAAGTCCGATATCTGTTGGTGTAGGTTGTGATCGAAGGTTCAAAGACCACTGCTATCCTATAGGTGTTTTTAAATGTTAGAATCAGTTCATATTTAAGTCAAGAGTGAATAGGAACCAGGTTCGAGTCCCACTGCAATCCTATAATTTTTTATCATATTATTTTGAGCCCATAATCAGTAAATTTTCCAATTGATATTTTCAAATAAAATTCATCATTCCCATCAATATTTCTCTCTGTGCTGGCGGCGGCGCTTCTTTTTCGGCTTTCAAATCGAAATCCGAAAATTTGTTGTTAAGGAAAACAACGCCGAAATCATTAACAGTTAACAGTCTTGGCGCGAAAGAGAGGGAAATGCGGCAGAAAGGCCGAAACCACCGAAACCGAAACCAGTTTAGGACAACAGACCAAAACGCATGCGTCTTTCTGGAATTGGGTCAGCAAGTACGGGCCGAAAAATACCAAAGCCAAACCTCGGCGATCAAAGAGACCATTGCAGGTGTATTATGGCGGTAGGACAGGTTGAATGAAAGTCAATCCGCTTAGGCATGCCCACATCCAATTTCCGAAGAGCCAATTAAGCCACCGCAAGTGCACATTAAACATAAATATTATACGGGCTGATAGAGAATATTTTTCGGAGCGGGTTTTCGGGTTCGGGTTTGTGGACTTCTTCTTGGAGGGCCGGCCATTCGGACCTTGGGTCAGTGAAAGTGTTTTTGCAGAAATACAGAAATAAAGATACAGCCACACAGACAAAGATTTACGATATGACCATCTCGTTCATGCAGCAGATGTATCTTTAGCAATTCTGTTTTTTTTGCTGGGCTGATGACTTTCTCACAAGGGGTTAACGAAAGATGGAAATATAATTGACTGAGTAATATCATTTAAAGGAATGCGGGTTCAGAGATTTTAATTGAGAAATACTTGTTGATATATCACCCGAAGATAACCTATTTAAGGTCTGAGCATAGGAGCCTTGTTAGTTAATATTTCATATTCATATTCAATATTTTAGGTTATCATTTCCCACCCCAAGTTTAAATTTAAAAGCCATTTTACTAAAATACCATAATATCACGGCTAACTTTATCGAGTATTGACTTCGTGCCCAAAATTTCTAAAAGTTTCAATGAAAACAGGTTGAGATTCGGTTTCACTTTCACGAGACCGAACCCGCGCATTCAAATTAGGCACAGGCGTATAAAAAGCGGAGAATCGACAGAAATCAATCCGAAGTCCCCGTTAAATCATCTAACTGTCCGCAGACTCTCTAATCTAATTGAAGAATCGCCACCTTGAGCAGGGAAGTATCAACCCATCAATTCACACGCTGGCGTTAAAACTCTTCTCTTTACTTCACGCATTCGCAATGAAAGTGAAAAGCTTATAAATACTCGAAAACTTTTGGGCGGAAGAGGTGGAAAATAAGAAAATCATTTGGAAACTAATTCGAGACAGAGATAACGAACACTTCAAGCTGGCCAATCGGCTTCTTGCCAAATTCGTGTGGCGCATATAGAGAAATACTTCTTTTTCGGCCGGTTTCTTTTGGCCAAAACAATGGAGAGCTCAACGGCAGCTCTTGGCAAATGAAATGAAGAAGAAAGTCAAAGAAACCGTTAAAAGTGAATTTCTTCTACGACTGCTATTGCCGACTATTATTAGTTGGCGTTTTTTTTTGGTTTTCAGTTTTGGTTTTGGCTGCGACGTGCGCTTTCTATTTGCGTTTTGTTTATTGTTTACCTATGATAGATGAACGTATCAGTTTCCAGGTGCTTTTTGAAGCCGTGTGGATGTGAGCTGGGCATACAACCAATTTGGCGTTGAGTGAATTTTTATTCGGTCCGAATTGAAACAACAAAAAGGTCTTAAACAACTGAAATGCATAAATAACCCGATGACGACACTGCATACACAATTTCGTAACCTTTTCCAATAATATATAATTGGACTTGTCTACAGTGACAAAATGCTTTAATTATGATTTGATTAGATTTGTTATTATGAATATATACTTTTAATTTTAAAATTTTTGGGTGGTTTGATATATTGATCTAAATAAAGGGAATGAAAAAAGGGGTAGCACATGTTGTTTTTCACATTTTTCGGGAGGCAATAGTAAACGTCTAGCATTTCGGATCAAGGTCTTTTTAACGAGTGTCAAAAGTGTGCATTAAAGTGAATTAACGAGCACTTAACCTTTTTATATATAACCCAGAGCTGACCAAACGGCGGCCATATAAATACAAATAAATACATTTAAGCCAAGGCTGACCGCCAAAATAACCAATGCACAAACTGCATTCAGCCTATTGCATTCGCAATGCTAAAGCAATTAAGCCACCTCCGCCCAACTAAATGGGTTGGCTTAAATGGCGTGCCATAAAACAATAAACTAAATAGCAAATGTGAGAAACCGATGCACTAATTGTGCCTATACATTCATACATGCCTCCTTGAGTAGTAAGTTAGTAAGCAATTAAACCGAAGGCGAGTGCTTAACCAGCCAATTCAATTATAAGACAATTGCCCGAAGTTCCTTCTGGGTTTTTCCAGCCGACAACAAAGGCTCTCAGAACATAACCTACAGATCATTTTCCCCACAAAAATATGGCCTAGCATGGAGAAATAACTCCATAAAAATATAATGAGCTGGGTTATTTACGACCCTTTCGATGCACTTGGTGCGTCATTCATGCGATTCGAATACCAGATGGCAGAAGATTACATGAATTCCAATTGCGTTACTTAGTACAGTAAGCACTGATCATAGTAAAATATTTCAATAAAAAGGGATACATTTTTTAAGTAGCCTAAGGCACTTTTACATATATTTCATAGCCCAATTCATGAACCTTTTTGTTGGAAGAGAATTAAACGCTCTCAATATTCTACCAATAACAAAAAAGACATTTTTACTCTTTATGTCGTACCTACTGTATTAGTAATAGGCAGTAAAACCAATGAAATAGCAAAATACTGATAGTGTTTCCCGAGCTGATAACAGAACATCAGTCCGCTTGTTTGACAAAATTCAGAACAGACCGAAATCCACTCGAAATATTACGTATACGACGCAGGCCGCAGTTTAAGAGTCCAACTAGAGCACAGTTTTGGGCGCGAAAATCAACAAGGCGGGCGATAAATATTGATAAATACGACCAATAAACCAGAGCTCAATATGCAACTAAATTGCATAACTCGGGAAAAAAGGAAAAACAAAAGGAAGAAAAACACTGCAGACTAGCGACTTGTCAACGATATAAAAATAATGAATAATGACAAACTAGAGACAGACCAGAAAGAGACATAATTATCGGGCCAGAAAGAGAGGCAGATGAAAAACTTCACCTTGCAAAAATGCGGGGAAAAACACATGGAAACAGGAGAAAAACGGAGAAAAACAGAGGCGTTCGGCCAAATGGTAAAAATAAAAAGCTAAGGCACAATAATAAATAAATGCGCCCGCTTCCGCCAACAACAACACTGCGAATGCAACTGCAACTGTGGGCGCAACAAGTTGTTTTTCACGCTACTTGCACAAAAGCAATGGCCAACAGCCAGCGACCAATTTCACTTTCATTTTCTTTTTGGCTTTGCAGCGAAGAAAAGAAAAGCGGACTGGCAAAAGCCAAAGTCACGCAGACGCATTAGCGGCCAACAGTTTGGTTTTGCAGCCAGCGCAGCCAATGCACTCTGCACCGGAAAAAAAGGGAATCGATATCACATCGTAAAATATTTTGCACTCTCCTTGATGCGAAAGTAATACATTCCAAGATCTTTAACTAAACGGTAATAATCACGAATTTAAACCCCACAAATCCAAATCAATTTGCAAATTGGTTAAGCTTTTGTTACAAAATGATTTCCGTTATGAAGTGTCACAGCTTCGAGTTCAACACCCACTACTACAAAATCAATTTCAAAAGTTTTAAAAGGTTCCAAAAACAATGTAAAGTGTTTAATTAATTTTTTTATTAAAACCAATTAAATACTTGAAAAAAAAAGTTGATGATTTAAAAAAAACCAAAAACCAGACTTGAATTTAAGAAAAAAGTAATTTGAAAGTGTTTTTTGTGACTTGTTTTGAATCCGATTTAAATATAATCATTATAGATTAACCATTTTGCCCCGTGCAGACTTGTTGCGCCAATGAACTCACCAGCAGATCGGGATAATCCTTGCCCATGCTGAAGCTTAATCCGTGGAAGAGTCGCATGGCCTGCTGTTGAACTTTGGGTGGAGTGAATCCCGTCGATGGGGCTGGGGCCGTAAGACCCGGACGGGATCCCAATAGCTGGTACAGCAGCTTGTGCGCCTGCTGGCGACGCGAACCGCACACGACGCGACCGGAAGTGCTCAAGCAGGCCATTTTATTGGTTTTATTGGTCAAGAGATTTGTTTATTTGATTTATTTGCTTGGGTTTTTTCGGGGAAGGATTTATAGCTTCTTGATCGAGACACAGGCACAGAATTCAACAGGTGAACAGCATTATAGTGGGTTTTTGTTTATGTTTTCGTGGCAGGATCGCAGGATTGGAAAAGCGCGCGATTTCGGGTTCTCGGTGTTTCGGGATCTACTGGCGATTTTCGAGGCGGCAGCGAAGCGCGGTTTGCTTGCGTTTGGCTTCAGCAGCTCCAGCGAAGTGTTTTCGCTTTTTGTGGACTTTTGAATCGTTGCGCGTGCGCGCCGTCAGGTGTGGTGGGTATTGGTGGCCGGCCGAGTGTGGTGAAGTTGAGTTCGGACTGAACTTGAATTGAATTCAACTTGGATTGAACGGCGGTTGAACCACGCGGTTTTGCAGTCACTGGAGGTCGGGGGCCACAGATGACCCCTGTGTTTACCGTGTGGGTCACACTATATCCGGATCCTGACTCCTCTCACAAAGGTCATTGGGCCTGGCAGCCACTACCGTCCACCCCCCGCCAGTGTCCGCATGTTCCGCAGCTTCTTGGCCACTCAAGGATTCCACTTTAAGCACGTTTTCCTCCCAGGAAATAGTTTTTATTTAACTCGCACGCAATTTGCACCTTTTCACTACTTTATTTTGACGTAACAGTGCAGAACAGCTGCTGCGAACAGCTGTTTAGGGTTGCAACGTGCGCGGTGGCGCAAGGCAGCCGGCTAAATCGTAACGCTAGAGATGGGCGACGTAAGAGGGGAAGTGGCTGCTACGTGTGAAAAGTAAGTTCCTTAAGATAATAAAAGATAGTAATAGTAAACCGAGCTGAAGTCCATGGTGGTCAACTTTATTGACTAGCTCATACGAAAATAATATTTATTAAACAAGTGAGGAAATGTGCTTTAAAAACTATGTCGGATTGATGTCTGACAAGAATATGCACTAGGAAAATTTTAGCAAATTACTTGTCTAAATTGTGATGACAATTTAATTTGTTTAAACTAAGTGCAATTTTTGGTAACTTTTAAGTTTTGTCATCGTGCTTTTTTACGTAGTCTTTGCTTAAACTTAAATATATCGATAGAACAGCTGTCTGCTGTTGCGCATCTCCAATCACGTTTACGTAAATCCAAAAATATTAGGAGGTACAAAATGTCTAGGAATTTGTTTTTATCAATTACAAACTTCATCAGGAACGTGGAACGCCTGTTCCTGCCACATGGAGGACATCCGCCAGGTGGGAAGTACTAACGAAGTGGAGATGACTATAATTATCAACTATTTACACAGCGCTGGCTTTGGCCGGTTTCCAGCATGAGCACAGCCAGAAAACCTCCCGGAATTAGTTTGAAGCAGCTATTGGCGATGGAATGTTGTGGGCCGTTCCGAAACACAGGAGATCTGTGGAGAAACGCTTGAAACGGAAGTTGGATACCCGGAATACAACTGGAAGCCCTTGAGGGAAAAGAGGAACATCCGGTCGTGTTTGCAATGCGGTCATGACCACGAAATGGGTGTTCTATGTCGTAAGAAGTTCTTAAACCGTATATGTATACATGACTTATATGTATTTCATTTTCAGCCTTCTGCTACCAAAAGGTCCTGAAGGAAACAGAGCTCATGCAGTCCAAATCCAGGAGACACTGGCTTACAGCAGTGGATAAAGAGGTCATTGTTCTATACGAAGGCGAAAAAGCAGAGCAATCTTCGGATGATCTGAAAAACAAGCGCATTGTGGAGATGAAGAAGCCCCGACCCATGTGGTTCACCAAGAACCTGCTCCAGAAATCCACGCAGCCGCTTTCCGAAACCAAGGAGGTCAAGCCCTCGGATTTGGCCTAGTTACATTAAGCCTCCTTTGTGCATTAAATCACCAACTTTGTTATCAATTTCTCGCTAGTTTATTGTCGGTGAACTCCAAGCAGCTTGCTTGCTTCCGGAATCCGTTGTTGAAGTCCTGGGCACTCATGGGTTTTCTGCCTTCCACTCGTAACTGAAGAACTTCTATTTGACTTCCTGAGCACATCCTATCAGCAGGGATCTCCTCTTCCTTTGATAACTAAAAGAACCAGGTTCTTGGACTACTAGTGGCTTTTCTGGAGCCTTAGCTCCAGCAGCTGCACTTGCTTGTCCATAAAACTGGTGGTCAGGTTTTTGTAGCCATGCAAGCTCGGTGACGAGTGTATATATCAAGGCACTGAGCTCTGACCAAATAATCTCAGTGATTTTGTTGGTGATCTTTGGAGCTAAGGGAAAATAGGGTTTTAATAGGTTTAGAGCTGTTATCTATATGTTTTACCATAGCTGGCATTTGTATCGTCTTGGGGCTTGGCTTCCTGCAGTCTCTCTGATAGTGGTTGACTGTATCCACCAGTAAATCGGCTCCTAACAAGGCCAAAGATGCATGCAGCTCCGGCATGAAGACATCGGGTTTAATGGCCACTTCTCGCTGAGCTAGAATCTAAAATATAAATTTTAAGTGGTACTATCTATAAAGAAAAACTAACAACGAACTTACAGCTCCTATATCAAACCGATGTGGTTCGATTTTCATGATGGAAACCCCTGTCCTGGCATCTCCCTTCATGATGGCGTATATGATGGGAGCAGCACCTCGCCATTTGGGCAACAGACTAGCATGGACATTGATCATTCCATTGGGGAATCCATTGATGATACTGGCAGGTATCAGGTGGCCAAAAGAAACCACTACACCCAGATCGTACTTGGAGCATTCAGAGGGTTCGATTGGCCACTTTTGTAGGGGAAGTTTCTCCTTTTCCGCATAGCTCCTCACACAGTTGGCGGGACTTTTGAAGGACGTAACAACTCCCAGGCGATCCCTAAGGATATAACATATATATTAACCAAAAATTATATTGTTTTAACTACATTTTACCTGCAATTCTTGTGCAGAGCCTGCAAACTTGGCAAAGAAAAGTTGTCGGTTCCGAAAAACAGAATTTTGGGTGGGTGGTATGTTGCATTGCACCGCTTTGTAGTCAGGCTTACATTCTGCCACACTTTTCTCTTATATTTATAAAAACTATTAACTAAGCTCTTGCCGCAAAGCATTGGGAAATATGTTGGATAATACGCCGCGTAAACAAGAACAGCTGTTCGCTACGTTACCCGGCCACTCCACCAAATAACGTAACGAAAATACTGAAGTACAGTAAACACTTTGCGTCGAGAAAACTATCGTTGTTACTAGTATCTTTCATCATGTCCTTTGTTGTATAGAAATTTTAAATTTGTGTATTTTTAATTGTGGTGAAATCTACGTATTGTTTTCTTGTTATTTCCTTAGAAAATAAATTTTATTAGAAATAGACACGCCATTCGTAATTTCGTCTTCATCCATCCACAGTTATAATAAAATATTGATTAATAGCCCGTCCCATAAACATAGTCGAGTAGCCTTTTCAAGTGCTACATATTCCATTTAATTGATCAAAAACTTGGATTTGTGTTATTTTTTACATGACGAATCACTGTGCCAAAAACCCTGTTCCCTTCACAAAGACTTCAAGCTATCGGTTTAGTTTTTGGTATTTTCTGAAGTTCCTCGCACGGTTCCACTAATGAGAACGCAACAAAAAGAAAATCATACGAAATCGCCAAGAAAACGTATATTTTTGGGTCCGATTTGACCAATATTTTGATGCCAAGAGCTTGGGAACTCCTGTAAATCGCAATGGAGGCATCCGCTGCAAAGATCACATCCCTGGCCAACTCCACGTCCATTTCCGGAGGCACAAGCTCTCCTTCCAGCGACAAAATGAACTACGCACTGCAAGTTGCGCTGCAAACAATCAAGGAACGGTGCATCCAGCTGCAGCGCCGCGTGGCCAACATGGAGGAGGAAAACCAGAGGCTGAGGGAGGTCTCCAGCAGGTCGGAAGGCGCTCCTCCGCCTGCAAGCGGTATCGGGGTCACCGGGGATGTCCTCTCTCTAAGAGCACAGGTCTCTGACCTGCAGCGGCAGAAGGAGCAGCTGGAGGAACACATTGGCATGGTGTCCAACGAGAACCGACGCCTCTGGTCTCGCCTTTCACAGATCTCCAAGGATCAACAGCTTAACCAGGTGCCCAGCTCCCCAGACCTGCGTGCCCAGCAGAACCAGAACCTGGTGCGCTCCAAGACCTTCACACAGCACTCGCCCAATCCTCACCTGCGTCAGAAGATGCTCTCCGACGGCCTTAAGGATCTCAGCCTGGAGGAAATAGCCCTGGATGACTTTGGTGCTAGCAACGAGGAGCTGGGCTACCCCTACAACCTTCAAAAGGTGGAGGAAGCCACCAGCGAACCAGATGCCAATGTGGATGCCAAAAGATGCATGGATGGACTGCAGGAGATGAGGCGGGAGGCCATGAAGCAGCAGCAGGAGCTCAGCTCGGCCCTGACTTTACTAGAAAGTCGCATTGGTAAGAGATCATATGAGTAGTCATCGTAAACGCCATATAAAACCTTTGTTTCATTACCAAACAGCTCTGAAACCCTGTCCGGAATGCGCTCAGAAAACCGCCAAGAAGCCGGAGATGGCCGATAAAAGTCTGGAAACGGACGACAGCCTGACCAGCGAACTGAAGATCTATGAAGGCCAATACAATGGACACAACGGAACACCGCCCAGCCAGAGGATTAACATTATACAGGAGAAAATCAAGGCCGATGCAGCCGATGCCATGGAGAAGACCTGTCCCATGTGCGGCAAACAGTATTCCAGCCAGGTGTCCTTCAATGCCTTCCGCGAGCACGTGGAGATGCACTTCATCGATGATGCCCTCGACTTGGAAACGGACAGCAGCATGGAGCGACAGTTCGAGTTCGTTTCCCATGCGGTGGGCGACTTCTGACCCAGCAGGCGCATATACTTCGCCACCGAACTCTGACCTAGGGTAAAAACAAAGGATTAAGATGCAGTTTGACTGCCCAAAAACCGCGTGCTTGTTACGTTTCTATTGATTAGGCCTTTAAGCCTACATACAAATATCAAAATTTGATTATATTCTACTTTTAACCTTAATGTCTAAAAGGAGTGTGCATGAATACTTAGTTGTTAGTGACAGAATACGAGATACAGTTTAAATGTAAAGATTGAAAAAATGTTAAGCCGTTTTCTTCGGATGATTGAAAAGTGAAACCGCGCCGACCAACATAAATATTATAATATTATCAACACACTGACCAATTGTGTTATAAGTATAATTACCATTGTGCGATCTAATTGGCCGCTCTTGTGTGAGTCACCCACTTTTAGGGTATTATGGAACGTTCGACAGAAGTTATGGCTAAAAACCATTATGCTGTAACTGGTCAGAGGATTTCCCTGCTCTTTTGGATATGACGTAGTCGAAACCCGTCGCGCAACTTCTGCCTAATCTGGCTGATCCAGTGATTCAATTCGAATATTTGCCATATTTTTGGACATACGATTTACCATTGATAACAATTCAAATGCAAATGGTCACAGCTACTTTCTTTTGGTGCATTTGGAAGGGGTCGCAGCAGGGACTAAGCTTGTTATTAAAATGAATTGGGTTATGCAAATTGCTTGATTTATTGAATTTTTTGAACACGTGCAAACCTATTCAGATCACATTTTTGATGGGTGTTTAAATACAAAAAGTGTGTATTTCTTAATATGAATAAAAATATTTTGTTTTAAATTGTATATAAATTTGAAATCTACGGATTATTACAAATTTGGCAAATAAAACATGTTTTTACTTAATGATAATTTGAATTGTTTAATCTACTTTTTAAAGTATATAATTCAGCCTTATAAAAAATTACTCAGTAAGGAGGTCATATGAAGGGAGGTCATTTGAAGTATTAAATGATAAAGTTTAGGGTATATATTATAGATCTTTTGGCACACCCATTCACCAATTAGAAGTAAACGAATATGTAAGAGTTCAAGCAACTTTGGCAAGATCTTTTCCGCGTTTCCATCGATTATAGCACGGTTTTCCTTAGATCTTATGGTCTATATTGCACAAATCGAATACATCATTTATCATTTCGAAAACCAAGTGCAATTAGACTGGCACTTGCTGCTACCGTTTGCCGCTAATCACGCCCCACTTTGGTTTCGAATTCAGATCCGATCCGATCCGATTCCAACTCCCCAGACGCCAAGTCGACGTGGGCATCGCATAGACCCCACCAAACTATAAAAGATATCGGGGTATTTGTGGGCCGATTCAGTTGTTTGAAGTTCGCAGTCGCAGCAGCACCATAAAAGCTAGCATATCTACATCTCCCGCATATTCGCACCGGATAAATTATGTAAAATCGAAATCGACGCGAGATAAAAAGACAAAGACACACGAGTTAGTTGGAATCAATTATAATTATAATATCGTAATCAGAACAATCACATCTGCGATCTGCAACAATGCAGCCGAATGCTTTTCACAAGCTTTTACTACTGTTACCGCTCGCCTATCAACATACATCAAATGGTAATTTTTATCCCAGATCTAACTATATATGGGAACTTCGAGGAGTGATAAAAAGTGCATTACAACGACCTTAATGGCAGAAATATCTAGTTTTTAAAAAGATCTGAAATCGTATTTGTTTAAAATATTATCTTTGTTAGGTAAAATAGTTAAAGAGATTATAAAACTTCCTTAATGAGACATGAAATTATAAGTAAAAGTTGAAAGAAAAATTCACTATCTACAAAAAACGTTTTGTATATTTAAACTGAAGCAGAAAATCGTACCGGCATTCGACGAGCGCTCCATTTCCAGATATTTTTGTAAACTAGTGTAATTAATCATTCTGCCATACCTTGTTTGGGTTCCAGAAATGAGAGAGTCACCCAATTCCATCAAACGGTCTTGGCTAATAGGATTACCAGATGCTAGGTGTCCAAAAGAAAGTGAAAACGGCTCAGATGTTGTATTTTCTTCAATTTGAAACTTGCAGATCACAAAGAGGACGCACATTGGAATTATGAGACGAACGGCCTAAATTGGGGAGGAATTTGTTCCTCGGGAGAAAGACAATCGCCCATTTCTTTAAACGTTCAAAAAGTGAGTTAACAATTAATGAAATGTAATATTAAATAAATAGTAGGTATGCATATATTAATATACAAAAAGTGAACAATAACTTTACAAATATAATGTTTTTTGTTCATTCAAATTTTCCGTCTATAATGATTTAACCGATCAGGCTTGAATTCCCGAGCAACAAACTACCTTAAGTCGCAATCGCGTTCTTGTAAAAAGCATTAAATTAAAGATTTGTCTCACCAAATGTGTATTAATTATGCGAGCCAGACACGCGGCCTATTTTATATGCGCATCCATTAAGTTACTTCTGATGCCAAACAAATTCGGTTAAGAATTAGACAACATACCTAACAATTTAAATGACAACAAATTCTTTTATATCAAATGCTTCCAAAAGAAATACATAAAATCGGGAATTGGTGATACGGTAGTCTGGAAATTACAACCAGGAAATTCGATAACTTGACATTGATAGGCTCTATTCACTTAATTTGCCAATAAGTTTACATAAGTGTGGTACCCTAAATGACGTATGTAACCAACAACGCTTCTCCAAATTGGCAATCAAAAACTCTTTTAACGCCACTTTTTGCATTACAAGAGGTAATGATTGTGGAAAATTGAAGGGGCGAACCAGGCTAATTTATTTCAATAAATAATAGATTGTTATGCTTTCTGCCAGTCGCTTATCGTCCCATTACCTCGGATCACTTTCGGAAACTATGACGTAAAGTTAAGGGGGCCAATCACCATTGAAAACAATGGCCATACAGGTGGGTTGTCTTTTGAAAAATATCAAATAGTTTATAACGAAGAGCAACTAACAATAATTATTTCGCAGCTCACATGGAAATTCCCGAAACGGCCAACGGCAACAAACCCTTCATAGCCGGCGGTCTACTAAAAAATCGGTATGTGGCCGAGGGTCTTCACTTCCACTGGGGATCCCCCGACTCCCGTGGATCCGAGCATTCCATCAACAAACAGCGGTTCGACGTGGAAATGCACATTGTACACCGAAATGCCAAATACAGAGATATCGATGAGGCAAAAGAGAAGAAAGATGGATTGGCTGTCATCGGTGTAATGCTGAAAATAGTAAAGGTAACTTAGTTACATCTAAATTAATTTTATATGTGTATCGTATCAAAGGTTAATGCACGGAAAATCACGGTTCTCTTGGCACTTTCATTATCTTAAATGACGTGATAAAGTAGTCAAGTTCGGCCGAAATGAAAATCTACACCGTAGAACTAAATTTGCCGGAGAAAAAAAAACGTGTCATTACGTCAAAGTTAGATGACTGTTTTCTTCTTTTTGTTTTTTTCTATGAATCAATCTTTTATTTAAAAGCACAAACCTAAAGATCAAAGATGGGCTTGACTAAATGTAAACAATATTTATGGTCTTCAAAACACTTATACATTTCTAAACATTATTCTTCAGAATCCCAATCGGATATTTCCGGGCTTAAGCAAGGTAATGAGTGCATTACCGAGAGTTACAAAGTATAAAGCGAAAACGACTATTCCGGGCGGCTTGAGTTTGGGCCAGATGCTTGGTAATGTGAATCCCCGGGACTTTTTCACCTACCGGGGATCCCTGACCACGCCCCTTTGCGAGCAGGTTGTCACCTGGATGGTGTTCTCTCAAGTCCTGCCTGTATCCTATTCATCGGTATCGAAGTTCTGGAAAATGCGAGACTCCGAAGGACACAGGCTTATCAACAATTTCCGGAACATCCAACCGCGAAATGGGCGACCTGTCTTCTACAGAGTCGGAAAAGATCTGAGTGGTGCCTACCTGGGAAAGTGATTGTATTATAGTTGGACTTAAGTTCTGTATTTATTTTAGTTGTGTAAGGCAAATAAACTGTTATTATATTTGTTAACCTTGATTTACAGTTTGAAGACAAGCAGTTGCAAAACTATCCGCTTCGATCCAATTTCTTTTCAGCTCGACGTACATATGTATTTGCACCCCACCTGAACTAAAAAAGTATCGTCGTATTAGCGATCCGTTTCAGTTGTTTGACGTCCGCCGCCGCAGAAGCAATAAAGATAACACATTTTCCGCATATTCGCATCGGATTAATTATGTAAAATCGAAAACGACGCGAGATAACATACAAAGAAACACGCTTGTCTTGAAATCAATTATAATTATAATATCTTAATCATAACAATCACATCTCCGATCAGCAACAATGCTGGCAAATGTTTTTCACACGCTTTTTCTTTGGCTTCCGTTCGCGTATCACCATACATCGAATGGTAATTAAGGTCCCAGAACTCTGGGAATTTGTGTTATTTTAAGGAGTGATAAAGGGCGCACAAACTAATTTTTAACGGATGCAAACTGTTAAAAAATTAAGAAAGAATGAGTTATTAAGTAGTTCATTCAGTCACGGTTAATATGCATTTTAAATCAATTTGTTGTTGGTTGTTAAAATATGTACATCAGATCTGCGTCAAAAGAAATCTTAATATCTATAAGGATTTTTAAAAAATACATTTTTGATGATTTTTCAAATTAGTGGATAAAAAGGCATTTGCTTGGATCCCTAAAACAGGGATTACGAGATGCATTGTGGTTAAACTAAGTATCTCCATTCATTTGAAACCTGTAGGTATAGAATGGAATTACCTGACGAATGGAAAGACATGGACCGACCTATGTGCCACGGGAAAACAACAATCACCAATTGCGTTTGATATACAAAAAGTAAGCTATAAACTAAATAAATAAGAAGTATCAGGAATTTGCTCAAGGATAATTTATTCCTATCTTCCAGACGCGCGAATTGAAATCACCTCGGATATATTTTGCAAACTATAATGTTGAGTTAAAGGGGCCAATCTTTATTAAAAATAATGGACATACAAGTAAGTTATAATAAGTATAACAGTTTTCAACGGTTGGAAACTAATTAATATATGTGTTTTTTGCAGTTAGCATGGACATACCGGCCACGATTAATGGACAGCCACCCTTTATATCCGGTGGTCGTTTGAGAGGTCGTTACTTGGCCAAGGGTCTACACTTCCATTGGGGATCCCCCAATTCCAACGGATCAGAGCATACGATTAACAATCGTCGATACGACGCAGAAATGCATATTGTCCATCGAAATGCTAAATACATCGATATCATTGATGCTGCCGAGAAAAAAGACGGATTGGCTGTTATTGGTGTCTTGTTAGAAATCGTAAAGGTTGTATACCCCTAACCATTTTTTTATAACCATCCAGCTAATCAATTTCACCACAGGAGCCCATTGCCATACCTACGGGCTTAACCAAAGTAATTAATGCAGTCATAGAGACCCCTATGGATGAATCGAACACGACTATTCCGGCCGGATTTAGTTTGGATGAGATGATTGGGAATGTTGACCACAATGACTTCCTGTCCTACGACGGATCACTCACCACGCCCTTTTGCCATGAGGCTGTCAGCTGGACTGTTTTCACCCAAATCCTGCCCGTGTCTTTTTCAATGGTATCGAAGCTCTGGAAATTAAGAGACCGTTGTAACCACCCGATGATCAACAATTTTCGGGATATTCAAGACTTAAACAATAGACCTGTGTATCATCGATTTGGACGCGCTTGAATAAGTCTCTATTAATTAATACACAGTAAAATAAAAATGTTTAAGCAAGAATTTATTGACTTGCATTAATTCATTTGGTTAGAAATTGAAAATTATGCAACAGTTACGTCATAAGCAAATACCAAGTTTTTACAGTTGCAGCTGGTTTGAGTTTGGCTCAAGTTGTTACCACAGCTGTTACAATTCGATCTATAAAACTGACATAGAAAGATACCTTAATTGGTGAAAGAAGAGTCAAATTTCTCTTGAAAACTTTCCGAATTTTAGTGTGCCATTTATAAGTTATATCTAAATGATTTTTAAATGTATATACTTGAACTATATGCAATCCAGGGAGGAGCCTGGGAAATTGGTTGCATACCCAATTACCCAAATGATGGAATTTATAAGTCTAGTTTTGGGTTCCCATTCTGGGAGCCATTGGAATACGGAAAAATCGGACATGAAAATGGGTTATGATTTTGACCCTGGTATTAAAGAAATATTTGAATCTAGATTATTAGAGAATGCAACCACAAATTCATAGAGGTATCCCACATCAAAATCGAGATCCAATTACCCAAGTTATGGAATTTAGAAGTCTTTTTGGGTTCCCACTCTGAGAGCCATTGGAAATACGGAAAAATCGGACATGAAAATGGGTTAAAATTTTGACCCACGTATAAAAGAAATATTTGAATGCAGATTATTAGAGAATGCAACCACAAATTCATAGAGGTATCCCACATCCAAATCAATAACCAATTACCCAAGTTATGGAATTTGGAAGTCTAGTTTTGGGTTCCATTCTGGGAGCCATTGGAAATACGGAAAAATCACATGAAAATGGGTTAAAATTTTGACCCTCGTATTAAAGAAAATTTGAATGTAGATTATTAGAAAATGCAACCACAAATTCATAGAGGTATCCACATCAAATCAAAATCCAATTACCCAAGTTATGGAATTTACAAGTCTAGTTTTGGGTTCCCATTCTGGGAGCCATTGGAAATACGGAAAAAAAACATGAAAATGGGTTAAAATTTTGACCCTCGTATTAAAGAAAATTTGAATGTAGATTATTAGAAATGCAACCACAAATTCATAGAGGTATCCCACATCAAATCAAAATCCAATTACCCAAGTTATGGAATTTAAAGTCTAGTTTTGGGTTCCCATTCTGGGAGCCATTGGAATACGGAAAAATCGGACATGAAAATGGGTTAAAATTTTGACCCTCGTATTAAAGAAATATTTGAATGTAGATTATTAGAAATGCAACCACAAATTCATAGAGGTATCCCACATCAAATCAAAATCCAATTACCCAAGTTATGGAATTTAAAGTCTAGTTTTGGGTTCCCATTCTGGGAGCCATTGGAAATACGGAAAATCGGACATGAAAATGGGTTAAAATTTTGACCCTCGTATTAAAGAAATATTTGAATGTAGATTATTAGAGAATGCAACCACAAATTCATAGAGGTATCCCACATCAAATCATCCAATTACCCAAGTTATGGAATTTAGAAGTCTAGTTTTGGGTTCCCATTCTGGGAGCCATTGGAATTACGGAAAAATCGGACATGAAAAGGGTTAAAATTTTGACCCTAGTATTAAAGAAATATTTGAATGTAGATTATTAGAGAATGCAACCACAAATTCATAGAGGTATCCCACATCTAAATCAATAACCAATTACCCAAGTTATGGAATTTAGAAGTCTAGTTTTGGGTTCCCATTCTGGGAGCCATTGGAATACGGAAAAATCGGACATGAAAACGGGTTAAAATTTTGACCCTAGTATTAAAGAAATATTTGAATGTAGATTATTAGAGAATGCAACCACAAATTCATAGAGGTATCCCACATCTAAATCAATAACCAATTACCCAAGTTATGGAATTTAGAAGTCTAGTTTTGGGTTCCCATTCTGGGAGCCATTGGAAATACGGAAAAATCGGACATGAAAATGGGTTAAAATTTTGATCCTCGTATAAAAGAAATATTTGAATGTAGATTATTAGAGAATGCAACCACAAATTCATAGAGGTATCCCACATCTAAATCAATATCCAATTACCCAAGTTATGGAATTTGGAAGTCTAGTTTTGGGTTCCCATTCTGGGAGCCATTGAAAATACGGAAAAATCGGACATGAAAATGGGTTAAAACTTTGACCCTCGTATAAAAGAAGTATTTGAATGTAGACTATTAGAGAATGCAACCACAAATTCATAAAGGTATCACACACCAAAATCGAGATTCAATTACAGAAGTTATGGAATTTAGAAGTCTAGTTTTGGGTTCCCATTCTGGGAGCCATTGGAAATTCGGAAAAATTGGACATGAAAATGGTTTAAAATTTAGACTCTCGTATAAAAGAAATATTTGAATGTAGGTTATTAGAGAATGCAACCACAAATTCACAGATCCACATCAAAATCGAAATCCAATTACCCAAGCTATGAAATTTAGAAGTCTAGTTTTGGGTTCCCATTCTGGGAGCCATTGGAAATACGGAAAAATCGGACATGAAAATGGGTTTAAAATTATGACTCTCGTATAAAAGAAATATTTGAATGTAGACTAGAGACTTCAACAACAAACTTATAGAGGTATCCCACAGCAAAATCGAGATCCAATTACCCAAGTTATGGGATCTAGAAGTGCAGTTTGGACTTCCATTCGGAAAATTCGAACACGAAAATGGGTTTAAAATGTGACCTTCGCTTAAAAAATAAACTTGAGTGTAGACTATTAGAGAATTCAATCACAAACTCATAGATATATAATTTAGGAGTGCAGTTTTTGGTTCCCATTCTGAAAGCCACTACAAGATAAGGGCTAAATAAATTTACCTTTATCTAGACGGATTGCCAGACGTTGACAGGCAATTAAGCCATAACATAAATACTTTGATAAGCTCTTATTAGCTTTTTATTATTTTAATAAATAGTAACAAAAAGATATAACATTTTAAAATATTTGCTGTAAAATCTGTGAATGATAAAGTTTGTGGGATTTTCCCTGAAAACAAACCTATCTCAAGCTTAAAGTCGTTAGTCTATTCCCGAGGTTCTGATAAATAGTGCACTGATTCACGTTGTTTGGAAACTACCCATAGCAATGATTGAAGTGATTTGTGGCGCTCCTCCTTCTTGTACCATTTAATTCTGAATCAGAGCAATCAGGGATTCTTCGATCTATTCACAATGTAAAACGACTGTGAACGAAAAACAGGATTCATCAATTACAAGCTCAGTGTCTTGGCCACAGTCAAAGTCAATTATCAAGCTGGTTTTTCATCCGAAAAGCTGTAAACCCATTTGCAGTTTGAATGTAAATTGCGCCCATAGGCTAGAGCTAAGCTGATTGCGCTTATCAGCCTCTTATGCACACCCATTTAGAAATTATTGCAATTTTCACCCGGTTTCGCTAGTATAAATGGTCCTGATCCGAACCGAGAAGCTCACAGTCTGCCTGGAACCTTCAACAGGAACGGATCTGAAAGTAGTTATACAAAGTTCTGCATTGAAAATGTTCTTCTTTAGTTATTGGTGGCTGCTGGCCATTTCTGGATGCACCTTTGCCTATATAGGTGAGTTGCTTAAAACCTTAGTTTTGCCAGAATAATGTGTGGTATAAATATGCAGAGATACCGGAGGCCTATCTAGCTGCTATTAGGCAGGATCGGGCCGATGACCAGTCGGCGGGAGAGTACAACTACGATGAGCAGGGTGATGACTGGACGGGAACCTGCCAAACTGGGGAGAAGCAGTCACCCATAGATTTGATTTTCGAAGATGTAAGTTTTTAGTTTGAAAAGGGTGATTAAGAAATGACTACTCTTATTGAAACAGTTATAAAGGTTTAAAAAAGTGTGGGCTTCCCAGTATACATTTATTGTTAAGGGTTACTAATATCATATTTTTGTAGTCTAAAATAGTCTCCATACCTCGCCTGCGGTTCCACAATTATGATCAGGCCTTGCAAACGCCACTTGTAATTGTAAATAATGGACACACAGGTAAGAACTTCTGAAAATACCCAAATTATGATTATTTTGTCTATTCTTATGGTTAGCTAACATGGTTATACCTCCCACTCGTGGTGGGCAGCGGGCCTCTATAAATGGCAGTCTCTTGCCCGGGAACTTTGAGGTCCAGAGCGTACACTTCCATTGGGGATCGCGGAATAGCGCTGGATCAGAACATGCCATCAACTTCCAGCGTTACGATGTGGAAATGCATATTGTTCATAAGAACACCATATACGACACGATGGGTGAGGCAACGCAGCATTCCGATGGGCTGGCTGTTTTGGGCGTAATGCTTAGGGCCACTGCCAATCCTACTCAAGTCTCTCGGCTCTATGGACTGAACAAGATCTTTAACCGGCTTCCGAGAATCGTGCAATATAACTCAAATGCCACGATAACTGGAAGACTGACAGTTGGCCAGTTGTTGGGAAGTATTGTGACAGGAGAGTTTTTCACCTATAATGGTAAGATGAGTGTATCCTATAAGGATTGCTGATATACCATTTTTTATTTTAGGATCTCTGACCACACCAGATTGTGCCGAAGCCGTAACGTGGACCGTTTTTCCCGATGTTATTGACTATCCACGTCGTCAGATCGAAAAGCTCTGGAACCTCAAGGACTCACGGAAGAACCTTTGATCGACAACTATCGCAACATTCAGGACACCAATGATAGAGATGTCTATTACCGAGCCATTCAATAAAAAAATATAATTAACAATTTGTGGTAAAATTTCTGGAAGTGGTAAAGTGGATTATTTAAATATTATGTAGATAACTTCAGGAAACGCCTTATACGGCACCCTTGTGTTACTGAGATTACGACATTGAATTGACAAATTTGTATAAAAAAATCAGCTCAATTGAAAACAAGTTTTTGCAATCCCATTTGCGCGAGTTCCGGTGCTTGGGACTCCTGTTTGTTTTGGCAATAACTCATTTTTGTGTTTAAAGCTTGTTAGCCCAGGTCAGGAAAGTGTTATGTGGCATTATTCACGAATATGACATTTTAATCTCCTACTAAAAAAAAGAGAAGCAAAATGAAGCTGTCAATGTTGTTTTTTAACAGTCAGCTTTGTACGGTGTGCATCATCCGCCTAAAAGTTGGCTATACTTTATGGAGTTTTAACTATAACTTGGCCAAAATGTGGCTTGCAGCGAAAATAATAATTGTTTTGGTCAATTGATAACCCGAACTTACTATACCAACTGTTTTCGGCAACATTATGTCGTATATGGACAGTGAATTGTAACTTTTGGTATTGAAACAATTAATTACTCAATCAGTATAAAACATACAATTTGTATAATTGTGCGTAAATATTGAGACAGGAAATCTAATGCAAATATTGAGAATCAATTTAGCAGGGGTCCTTATGGGGGAAGTCCCCTGCTCGAATGGAGACATCCGGTGCGGAAGTGGGTGGAGAGGAAAGAATTCGCTTGGCTTGAGCTTTTGTCTGGATATGACAGATTTACTGCGCCATATATACGTTTATTTCCCGCGAAGAGATATGGCAAACTATTGGCACCGGAATCGGCAAAGAGTGGGGAGGGTGCGGTGGAAAAGGTGAGGCCGAGATAAAGGACAAGTCAGCATCGATGTTACTCATACGCAGTGTGCACCAGACACGCAAAACGCACATACGCACCGTAGACAATTTGCATTTGCCATTTTCACTGCACCCTCTTTCTCGCTTTTGACTGTCGTTTTTCGCGACTCGCTGCGCATTGCATTTTTCACATTTTTCATTTCCGTTTCCGTTTGCTGCCTCAAAAAGAGAGAAGAATAGCCCCCTTCCTGCCCGTTCCTCGATTTTCTGCTCTTTGTGCGTTTATCTCGGCCGACTGCCTTCCCCGTTTCCCTCCTGTCGCCTGCTTATTTGCAGATTAATTTGGTCCCACACCCACCTGGGGAGCAATTTGTCGCACAATCCTTTGTCGCCCCCCGAAACCCCCTCTTATCCAGGCGAAAATGTGCCATTTCCGTCCGTGTCAATATGTTCCAACAATCGCATTTCCACGCAGACTTTATTCGTGGATCGACAAGTCCTTTCCGCCTTTTCAGCACATATTGGCTTTGGCATATTACCTGTATGCTTGGATTGGTCGTACCTCTCTTTTAAAGCCACAAGTTATGTGCTGAGTTTTTAAGTTTGGTTTTAATACCTAAAACCTTTCTCAAATTTTAAAATTGTTTTTCTTTTTAGGTTTTTGTTTCAGAATTATTTACATTTATTTTAAACATTTTACTTACATTTCAGTTCTTAAAGACAGGAATGCCTTGTTTGACAGACATCATTGCGGTTAAAATACCATTTAAGCCAAGCTCTAATTAAATACTTCCTGAAACTTGTCTTAGCCTAATCCTAATCATTTTTAATCATTTAAGAGCTTGGGGGTAGCCAAATCTTAATTTCTATGGACACCGCCGAAACGTGTCCTTCATTTGCCTACGCAGCTCATAATCCGGCTTCTTTTTTTGGGAGTCACAAACAAGGACACAACTTGCTACTGCTGCTGGTGATGATGATGTTTCCGCTGGCTGACATTTAACGCCCATTTAACTAATTTCGTTTTAAATTGTTGACAATTAAGGGAAATTGCCAAGACGAATCGAGAGCAGGACCTCCTGGTTTCCCCGTTTTTCCTGTTTTCCCCCACCGAACACCACGTGCCATGTAGCAGTTAATTTGTTGGCAATAAGTTGGAGCACCAGGCCTAATTACAACAACATGCACGACATGACTGCGAAATTTTCATTAAAATCGGCCCGTACTCGCAAGGACAATGCCAGTTGCAATGGAGTCCTTGGATCAGGAGCCCTTTCGTCTGGCAATGGGCCGAGCTGCCTGGTGGATACCCAATCCCGGAAGGGCAGCACCCAACCACACCACTCAACATCCCAACCACTTACCTGGAACTTCCGCGGAGGATACGCGAAAATTGTCATTTGCCGCCGCTTTAAAGGATTTGCTACAGAACCTGTCGTTTCATTGTTACAGCAAATTAGTGGAGCCTGGTCGGCGGATTAAAGAGCGGTAGGTGGTGGTTGGCCACATCCGGATGGCCCTTTTCAATTAGCATTAGCCATTACCCGAATCCACTAGCTACACGGATAAAAAAATCATATCATCTTAAATTTGTATTATTTAAAAAATAACTGAGACTATTAAATCAGTTACAAAAAGTGTTCAAAAGTATGTCACAACATTTTTTAACATTATAACATTTGCTCCTATTACTTGAAATGATATAAAAAATCTACAAATTGGTGATCATATCATATCATTTTTTCCGTGCACCCGCAGTTTCTTCTGGTTCATTTTCCACATAACCGCTTTGAGCGTTCTAATTGCATTCCTCTGGGGCACCTACACCAACGAACGGGAGGCCTTGGTGACCACTATGTACCACCCGATGTATCCTATTTGGAAGGTGGAGTTTCCGGCGATATCTGTTTGCAGCTTGAACCGCATATCGCAACGTGCGGCCTGGCAATATGCCCACGAACTGTAGATCTGGTTAATAAGTTATACCTCTATAGATTCCCTAATATGCCTTTTTTAATTGCAGTAGTGGCAAAGATCCAAAGCATCGCAATGCCAGTCATTTCTACGACCAACTGAAGGCCTTTATGTACATGTATTACGATCCCACGGATCTGGCGGATATAGATAATGCCCTTCGCTTTCAGAGCTTCTTGGACAAGTTTGACACGGGTGAAGAGGACCTCTTTTTCAATACCAGAAAGCGCATGCACTTTCTCACACCGAACTGTAGTGATATGTTTGTAAGCTGCAGAATTGCCGGGCGACTCTTCGACTGCATGGACAAGTTTGAGACAACCCTGACCAGTCACGGTTACTGTTGCACTTTTAATTATGATGGGAGGTAAGAAATAATATACATTCTATCCGGTAATGGTCGTAAGATATAATATGTTTTGAAGTACTTAAATAATATTTCCCCAGATATGTCAATAAGAGGGACTTTAGGCAGCGATACTTTGGCCCCGACATGGGATTGGTTTTGACTCTTAAATCGGATCCCAGAGACAACTTCTACAAGATAAATGGTCACAATGGGTTTGTGGTGGGTAGTTAAATGTAATATAACCTTTGTTTAATTGCGTGCTTAGATCTCCATTTACGAGCCTCACAGCTATCCGGATCCCTATTCCGGGGGCGTGGCAGAACGCGTGGCCGAAACGGGCTTTAACACCTTGCTTCCAGTACGAGCCAAGATATTTGAAACGCTCCTGAAGCGCGAAGTATGAGCCCATCCGTGGTAGGTTCCATTAAATATCTTTTATTTATTTAAATTTAATTTTCATTTTTCCTTGAAACGCAGCGCAAGTGCCTGTTTGAGAATGAGATGCCGTGGATCTTTGCCCGTCATTATACCTTCAGTAAGTGCATTTCGGCTTGCAGGGCGCAGAGTGTCGTCAGTTTGTGCGAGTGCGTTCCGTTCAGCCTGCCCCACAGATATATCGATGGGAACGCGAAGAGGATCTACTGCACACTGCAGCACCTGGCTTGCCTCAAGCGCTACGAGTGTGGGTTTTAAGTGGAGTTAATCGCGAATTCATTGAATAAATGTCTCCTTTCCCCCCCATCCATCCAGTCAAGTGGTTGAACGTCATCACCAGTCGCGAGAATGTGACGGGTCTGGAGCACGAGCTGCAGGACGCCCTCTACTGCCCGCTCTGCCTGGCCTCCTGCACGGAGACCCGGTACAGTGTCCGTGGAGCCATGACTCTGGGCCTGCCCACTCCCAATCCGACCAAGGGTCCAGCGTAAGTCCACTGGCCAAAGCGGATTCAGTGCGGTGCGAACTGCGACTCCGTTGTGCCCCCGATTCATTTACCATGCCGGGTTGCTTTTCATTTCCATATGGAGCCATTCGAGGGCCCAACCCCTTTGGAATTGAAAGCGCAGTGTTGCCCATTTGGCTTATTTGTTGAAGGTTATAATTTAACTCTATTTATATTTTTCTAGAACTAATTAACGTTATTATCTGAGCAAATTTTAAATTATACAGTGTTTAAAGAATATGTTTGGGTCTAAGAATCGCGTTTAGTTTTTGGATCATTAAAGGTGATTTATGGTAAAAATCCATGAATCTTCTGACATAAAATTAGTGTTGCATACTTTTAGAATCTTTATTGTTATTTCCAGATTATGTTAAAAATTGTTTGTGATTATTTCATCCTTTAACCCCATATGGTTTTAATATTCCGCCAGCACTGGCGGTGTGCCCTGACTCCTTGCCGTCGTAAAAGATTTTCATTTTGCAGGCGAAGCAATCCCGGACCACGTGCCAATAACAGTTACGGCCCAAGACTGAGTCCCGGATCCGGAAAGGTCCCCGTGCACAGCTCATCCTCCCCCGCCGAACTGGCCGTGGTTCGTATTTATTTTGCCGAAACGCACATTCAATACTTTCGCCAGATTATTAAGTGCGCCTGGTACGAGACCTTCAGTGAGTATTTGGCAGGGAAGCCCTGGTCGTTTTGCATATCTCACCCACCATTTTATGTGTGTGTTCCCCGTGCCAGGTACAATTGGCAACATCTGCGGCATTATAGCCGGTTTCTCGCTGATTGGCATCTGCGAGCTGTTGTTTTTTCTAGCCAAACAATTATGGCAGGCCTGCCGCGCGGAACTTCGGGCCGATCTCACCCACATCCACGTCCAAATCCGGACGCAGGTAGCGGAACCGGAAGCGGAGCGGCCGATGAAGTTGTTTATTTTGCCGTAATTGAGCGGGATGCATCGTTAACTTTAAAGCCCACTGATTTTTATGCACATCCTTCGACCCTATGTGTACCAACCTCCCAAGCAACTCGAGTGCACTTACTTTGCATTGTCACATAAAAATAAACAGAACTCACGTACGATTGCCAATTGGCGAGGTTGCCAAAAAGGCCCAGACGGTGACATTAGCGCCGGCCAGTTGCCACATTTCCCGGCTGGCCAGTTGCCCGAATGGGGCAGGGGTCACTCGACCAGTTATGGACCACAGATTTCGAAAGAAGAAGCCACACAGAAAAAAAAGGAATTCCAAAATATGTCACAAGATAGTCAAGGATGCCAAAAATCTTTATATTTAAATCACATCCATTAAAGGTGCCTAAAAGCCGGCAACGAAATATTTGATTATTTTAACTGCATACTTTTAGGCACCTTAATAAATGATTAAACCAAACAAACTACTTTTTCTTTTTGCGGCTTGATAAATGTAATTTGGTGTTAAAATAAAATACGTAAAATGTTTGAAAATATATTTTAGATGTTTTTCCACTCATTATATTATTAAATCCAGGAAAGGAAGTATAATCCAGAAATAAATTATTTTATCACCTTTTCTTTCCGTGCAGCACTTACAATCAGCATTATCTTTTATTTTGTCGTATGCAGAGTTGGCAAAAAAAAGGGAACACCCAGGAGCAAACAAAATGCGGCACACCAGCTGCCCGAAATCAATGTGGCAAAATTGAGTATAAAGTCAAGGGAAGGCCACTCCATCGTTTGCGACAATTACAATTTCAATTATTCTTCTCGAATTACTTTTATCTGCCGGAGTAATTTATTGCCAGCTCATGGGGAAATAAGCAAATTTCTGTTTACTTATTCAGCAAGGGAAAATGTTTTGTGCGGAACCCTCTTCTTTCAGATAGACAAGTGATTTGAGGCTTCATTAAAGCATCACCTCATGGAATCTTCGGCGGGATTTAACTTTTGCCAATTCTTTTGCACAAAAGCACCGAAAATAATACGGACAGACAACGGGCCGTGTGTATGCAAATTTGCCAGAGAAATTGAAATGATTTTCCATTGAATCTGTTCGCCAGTTGTTGACTTTGCCAAGCATAAAACTGCCTAAAAATTGCAAAAAATTTAAATGAAACGCATTCGATGGAGAGAAAACAACCGAGCGATATCCGGAAAGCATTGTTAAACAAAGGAGTGTGGGTCTGCAATGGAGAGGGAAAAAACGAGGGAAAGAAATCAGCAGGACTGCCGGTTTTCATCTCTGGCTTCGTTCCGAGCCGTAGTATTATCGCACAATACAATATGTATATTGGATTATTTCGTTTGTGCGAGCTTGGCCAGGGATGCCAGATACCGGAGACCAGACTCCGACTCCTGGAACTCCAGGTGGGTGGCACTAATCCTCCCCCGTATAGAATTTCAACCAATAACAGAAATATGCGAACAAAATCAAAAATACTTCTATGATTTTTTCAATCCCAGTCCCAGTCCCCCTTCCTCTGCTTATTTTTTCTACGTACTACTTTCACTCCCCTCAGGGAGCTGAAGTTTTAATTGAATTCTCCATGGAGAGCGGAGTTTGGTGCTTCACTGCTTTTTGTAAGTTTCATGCCAAGTAACTGCATCAAAAGTGCAAAAAGTTGGAATTGAATGAGCCCAGGTGAGTTGGTGAGATTAAAGGAGTGGCGTCCTAATAAGGAAATTACGGGATATGTAGAGCACTAACTTTATTATCAGCGAAAAGGATGCGTTGGGGAAATTTTTAATGGGATTGCAGGTGGGCGGAGTCAAGGGACTGAACGACTGACACAATTTGCACAGAATGTGTTTTTAATTACGTTGGAAATAAAATCAAGAGTGTCTCTACAAGCCATGTAGATTTTTTGCAAATACAAATTTGTTGGGCCTATAATTTGTGTATTGAAATGCTCTACTTTATGCAGTTAAACATTTTTGTCTACCTAAAAAGAATGTGTGGTCCAAAGATAGAGAAAGTTAGCTTAAATCGCTAGCAAACTGAGTTGCCTTGAATTCCCCTAGTGCATAATCCATGAGCCTTTCATCCAACCCACCGGCCCCCTTTATTCCATTTCCACTTTACCATTTTCGACACATAAATAAAGCTAAACATCTTTTGTGGCCTTATGGGGTTAAGCTAAGAGGATAACCCCTCGACGAAAGCCAATGAGCGGAGGTCCCTGGCCAAGCCCCCTGTCGTCCTGTGAATGGTGCCCAAAATCCTGCAACCCATTTAAAGCACTTTGCCGCTCCTCTAGTTCAACTCGGTGTCCTGGCTTCCGTCCTTTTTTGTCTTTTGCCCCGCTTTTAGGCACTGCCAGAGATGTCAAGCTCCCCGGCCGTTTAAGCTTTCAATTTCGCTGCTTTCGTGCAGAGTGTGTAAAACAATGGGGGTCAATAGTGTAGCAATCATTACATTCTTTTCCATCACATAAAGTGTTGATTTTAAATCTTACAATCACTGTAAATAAAATATATTACTTACTTATTTTTGAGTGATTTGATTTGAAGATATTTCTGTTGATAAAATATCTTATCTCCAATTATCATAATATTTATATCATGATTATATTACTGGAAATAAATAAAAAAAAATGTGTCTAGAAGTATGCAACTATATATTTTGAGTTCTAATGTGGGACCGGTTCATTTCGAGGGGAAGCTCATATTCCATTGCATACTTTTAGGCACCTTTATAAATGATTTAAAAACATGATTTATACCTTCACAACGTTCTTGAGGAATGATATCACCGAAGACATAATCCAAATACTATCATATATTGGAAGTGAAATATTTTATAGGATACCTTATTGAACTACTGTTGTGGCCCCTGCTGTAGTTGGGTGTGTGAGTCACCGGGTGGCGCTAAATTATTTAAAACGCGAGTGTCACGAGGCCGGAAGGCAGGGAAAGGGGCTCCTAACTTGGCTTGCATTCGCATTCACATTGTTCAAGTGCGTGTGTGCCAGCGAGCTTTTGGGTCTGTGTGTGTTTTAGCCAGTATTTATTTTTCGTCTACCCGTTGTCTGCTGCCTCGATGACGCTTTCATGAATAAACATGCAAACAAATTACTATACTCGACACTCGACAAACCCAAACAAAGGCAAAGCTCGCGCTTGCAAATTTAGCACCTGCGAACACAGTTTTTGTTTGGGCTCGCCGTTTTTTTCGTATTTTTATTCCGAGAGCGAGAGCCAGCAACAATGAAATGTAGGCTAAGATTTTAATAGCAATTTTTGTGGTGATTTTATTTTCCCTGAGCTGTCCGAGCGCCATTCATAATTTCAGGGGAGGATTGGACAGCTCGTGCGGGGGGTAATCTCTTTCAGCATCGGGCTGCACATGCTCCATTGCATTTCTAAGCATGTCTAATGCTCGCTTGAATGGCTGGCTCAGAAGCCACTTCCATAGACTCAGCTTGCGTCAATAAGAAAAACTCACTCAAGCATTTTCCACCAGACAAGTCACAGTGGTGATGGGGAAAAGAAGACTAGAAAAATGTTCCAAGAAAACTGACTTGAATGGGAAAGATTTCCTAAGTAATGGATACTCATCTTATTGAATCACACATATATTTGCAATTGAGATAATCAAGAAAAACCAAAGTCTTTAAAAGTTCGGATTTGGATTGCCTTCAAGCTTCGTGTATAAAACCTATATGTACTTCTTAAAATATTATACCTTCCGAAATAAAATTCCATCTTCCCACCACTGTGCTAGCTGGCATCGTTAGAAAGGAGCTGAAATTTCAAATTCGGAGCTGTCAAAAATATTTGAAATGTTCTTAATGCATAACCCCCGCCCACTCGAAATCTCAGCGCCCCTTCCAGCGGCTAGACATCAATCAACACCTTCTACAGTTTGATTGACAGCTGCAGAGCGACAGCATGAAAAATAAATCTGTCATTTGCATTTCAAGTTCCGTTTGAAATCAATATGAATATAGTACTTGAAAACCGGCTCTTGTTGCCGTTGCTGTTATTATTGTTATTATTATTGCTGCCAAAGTCAATTTGTCAAAAACATGCCACGCCCCCAGCCAGCAGAGCCGCCCAAAGCAGATGCTTGTCAAAGCATTTCGTTCCATTTCAGGCCGTTTTGTTACGTTTCATTGGATTTTCTGTTTTCACTGCGGTCGCCGAATAAAGAAACGTACAGAAACAACGGGGGAAATCCCTCAATGTTTTCTTTCCAGCTTAAAAACCGATTTTCCCCGGCTCCCTGCCCAAATGATATATGTAAATATAAATATGCGAGTGTGTATGATTTAAATGTATATGTTAAAACCGCATATTTAATTAATATAAAATAAATGATCGGGAAATAAATTACGTTTTTCGGCTGGCGGACAAAGTGGACAAGGACCTGGTTATAAATCGAATGCACCAGACCTGAAATGCTGGAATGAAAAATATTTGTTCACGGTTTTTGGCTTTAATGTTAACGCACTTCCCACTCCCTTCCGGCCAGACTATTTGTTTAAATCATACGGGAGTACTGAGGCATATTTGTTGTGTCGGTTAAACGCTTTTGCAATTCTTTTATCTCCCCGCGTAGTCGGAGTCTCGCCGGTTAATTATTTTAAGCATCTTCATTACAATGAGTTGAATGGCTGGGACCGCAGTATCTTGTACACATGCTTTTGCACAGTATCTGGTGGATAAATGCAGCCTCATCCCGTGTCCTTTTTATCTGTAGGTGCCCGGATTCAATTATGTCCGCTGTGTAAAATCGCGTCGGTTGAACTCGCCTGTTCCGAAAATATTTCTGCTTAATTAATGAAAAAACGCAATTAAAGGAATTTCATTGAAATTTTTATAAATGGACAAATATTCTTTTTATTATTTGCTTAATAGAAAGATATGGGATCAATAACTGGTTGGCTGTTTGAATTTTTGTGGGTAGTGGATGTAAATGGAAATTAAAAATATTTTCAAATTACTTTGGTGTTGTGGTACTGTTTT